AAGCTCGGACAGCACTCGGCGCTGGAATATGGCGATCGAGCTTTGCATGTATGGCTGGTACTCGGGGGCGATCCCTCGGGGACGTTTGCGTCAACAGGTGCAGCATCAATGGCCTTTGCACGAGCGCCGTCGATTCATTTTGCTGAGATAAAAAGAGATGACATTGCTGCGACAGATGGATTGGCGCCCGAATATCACGATAATGCCCGTCGAAGAGCGCGCTGACCTAGTGCGCAACCAGATGTATGTTTGGACCATGCGCCCCCTAGGGCTACCCAACCGCAGCTATACCTATTACCTCATCTTCACCGTCAAGCTCAGCTTGAGCACAGGTCGGACAATGGGACTTACCCTGACGACGATGACGGGAGTCTGGGAGAAGACGGGTACCCTAACCCTACCGATGTCGACATTGAGCGCATGGTGGAAGCAGCGGGTGCAGTGGCGGCCTCGTCAGCAGTTGCCACGGCGCCTGCGTTTCTTGAAGACGACGCGATGGATCCTGCTGAATACTCGCACCACTTTGGGTTGACTCGGACCGACGATGTATTCGAAGTACAAGTGCAGATGGCGCAGCAGCGGTCTCGGGACCTTGAACGCTGCGAGAATGGGATTGCTACTGCCGCTTCTTCCTCGGCCCCGCCTGAAGCACCATCGTCTCCTGCAGTGGCAGATTCACTTGTAGACGATATGTTCAAACGTACAGTGGCAACGCGCGACTTGAGTGGGATATACCATGATGGGACACAGGGTGGAGTGTATCATTGTGGTTCTATGGCCTCTTCGACGGGAAATCCCGTCGGCACCGCGAGCGCCAGCGCAGAGCAGACACTGCATGGAACCAGCGAGGCGGGCATGCATGCTAGTGGCGCGGAGAGCAGTGGACAAAGGTGTGCAGACATTGAAGAACCCTTAGCCTTCAATCAACTTCGGGCACTACAGACGGTTTGCGTTTTCGTCAAGCCAGCAGTCTCCACCGCACACGACGGGACACCGATGGTGAACGAGAGTGCGTACGTTCTGACGCCGTCGCAGCTGATCACGGCCTCTCTGGTTCTGGACGCACACTATGCTCTTCCTGATGACCAACGAGAGCTTGTTCTGTGGCTGCTCCATCACCCTGGGTCTCGGTTGGAAATGAACAGTGAATCTGGACCTTGCGCACCCTGCTGGCGTAGAAATCGAGCTCGCCTTTTCGGGATGATGGGGATGATATCTTCGACGAGCTCATGCTGGATCACGCTGCGGAAGACTCTGGTGGTGAGAATGGAACTGCGTTGTGCCCCGACGTGGGAATGGCCACCGAGGCTGCCCCCGACTCCGATGATGATGTCGTGTTTGCCCAAGCTCTTGCTGCTTCCATGGCGTCTGGCCTGGGAGGCACGGCGCGTCATGGCGATGATGTTTTGGAGGCCGCGAGGGATGGCTTCCTCTCAACCGCGTGTGCCCCAACTGCTGACACGGCGCCCGACTGGCAGGTCGTTATCTTGGGGGCGACTCTGGGGAGGCTCCTCTGCCCGCCCTGGATCAGATCGCGATGAGTAGCGGCGACGAGCTTGTCTCATCCGGTCCCGCAGAAATCGTTGACCGCAGCGAGGACGGCGACTTCCACAGCTTCAACCCTGAGGAGATCAGCTGCGCAAGCGGTGCGGCTGTGGGAGAGGTCGCCTCTGCTCCGTCATCTTCGGCACCTCCTGCGGCACCAGCGGCTCCTGCAGTCGAAGGTCCACATGAAACTGCTGCGCCGAACAGGTCGGAATATCAGTTCAACCATACCTTGGCGGCGCACGGCTGCGCTGTGACATACACTGGTGGAATGGTGGATGGGACCCTTCAAGCTAATACTGAGACCTCGTCAGCGGGAGGTGCTTCTGCGTCTTCGCACTCGGACGCAAAACTGCCCCCCCCCCCCCTGCTCAAAGTGGAGAGCACTTGCCCAGAGGTGGCGCAGCGAGCAGTGGGCAAGGAAGCACATGCGCAGATGAACTCCGAGCCTCCAATCAACTTCGGGCACTCTAATCTGTCAGCCTTTCCGTCAAGTCCGTGATCTCCAACGCTATACATGAGGCACCACAGGTGGACGATGGCGCGATACCGTTGACTCCCTCGCAGCTGATTGCGGCCACTCTGTTTCTGGACTCACACTATGTCTTTCCCAAAGACCAACGAGAGCTAGTAGTGTGGATGCTGCACCACCCTAGTTCGATCCTGGATGTGGGCAGTGAATATGGACCCGCGCTCCCCACCAGCTTTGGGACAGACGTCGCAGTTCGTGATGGGGAGGATGAGTTCGACGATGAACTACAGGCCCACGCGTCGGGAGACGCTGATAGTGATAATGGAACTGTGCTGAACACCTCCGCGGTCCTGGCTACAGAGACTGTGAACGACTCCGAGGAAGAGGACGAATTCACCAAGGTTCTTGCTGCTGCCGTGGCGCCTAGCCTAAGCGGTGCGGCAGGTCATGTTCATGATGCCCTGGAGATCGAGAGCGATGGCGTGGAGGGGGTGCAAGAGTGCAACAATGGACCAAGTGCTGTGCCCAACCCTACTCATGGGCAAGACGCTGTGGATTATGGAAATGTTCGCCTACCTGATGAAGAGGTTGGAGATGGCAGAGATGCTGGAGATCAGCGTCCTGGTCTCGCCGGTGGAGATGACCACTTGTCCGCTCATAGTCATGGTGTTGAGATGGACTTTGACGGACAGAGCACCGGCGGCATAGCCGTGGTCGCTGGCATTGAGGTGGACGGCGACTTCAGCGACTTCAACTCTGAGGTGGCGGGCGGCGCGGGCAGCTCGGCCGTGGCCTACGCGCGGGTGGAGGGGTGGCGCGCCTCTTCAGTGGCGTGGGTTCCTCCTCCTCCTCTTCCTGCTCCTCCCCCATCCTTCTCCTCCCTTTCCTCCTCCTCCTCCTTCTCGTCCTCCTCCTCCTCCTCCTCTTCCTCCTCCTCCTCCTCCCCCCCTTGCTCTCCTCCTCCTCGTCCTGCTCCGCTTTCTCCTTCCTTTCCTCCTCCTCCTCCTCCTCCTCCTCCTCCTCCTCCTCCTCCTCTTGCTCCTCCCCCCTCCTCCTCCTCCCGTCAGCTGACGGCGTGAGGCAGCGCGAAGACGCCCTCGTTTCCAATGTAGCGTGCCGCGCTGGCGGCCCGCGCGAACGGCCGCGTGAGGTCGCTGCGCCATCTCGCGTCAGCCCCGCTGTAGGTTTGTCGCTCGTGTGGCCGCGTGCGCTTCCAGAGCGCTCGGCCCCTGTGTGGGTTGCCCTCTGGCCCCTCCGCGTGTGTGATCAGAGGGCGCGTGGCATCCGCGCGATCCGCGCTGGGATCCAGAACAATTGTGCGTTCCAGCTTCGGGCTGCATATCCACCGCCAGGGCAGCCGATCTTCCTGGACCTCGGGGGGTGGGGGGACATGGATATATGGATATTTCTCGCTCTCTCTCTCTCTCTCTTTCTCTTTTTCTCTCTACCCCTCTCTCCCCCACTCTCTCTCTCTCTGTCTCTGTCTCGCTCTCTCTCTCTCTCTCTATCACTTTCTCTGTTTGTTGTTTCTCTCTCTCTCTCGCTCTCTCTCTCTCTCTCTCTCTCTTTCTCCCCCCCCCCGCGCTCTCTCTCTCTCTCTCTCTGTCTCGCTCTCTCTCTCTCTCTCTCTTTCGCTCTCTCTCTCTCTCTCTCTCTTTCTCTCTCTTTCTCTGTTTGCTCTCTCGCTCTCTCTCTCTCTCTCGCGCTCTCTCTCTCTCGTTCTTTCTCTCTCTCTCTCTCTCTCTTTCTTTTTTTTGTCTCTCTCTCTCTCTCTCTCTCTCTCTCTCTCTCTTTGTGTGTATAGATATAGAGAAGAGAGGGAGAGATGTGTACACAGATCTCTATATTCACACCAAAAAGAGGTGTATCTCGACATGCACATCGAGTGGCCTTCGGCCCACCCCGCCACCGTGCGCGGGTCGGCGGTCAGAGTCAGGAGGGGTGCTTCCTCGGGTCTCTTCGGAGCGCTCTCGGGGGCCTCTCGGGAAAAGTTTGGGGGCCTCTTGGGAGCCTCTTGGGGGCCTGTTGGGGCCTCTTGGGAGCCTCTTGGGAGCCTCCTGGGAGCCTCCTGGGGGGCCCTCGGGGCCGCGAGCTCGAAATGTCCGTTCGGGTCCCCGATCCACGCCGCCTTTGGGCCTTTGGGCTACCTTGGGGGCCTCTAGGGCCGTCTGGGAGCGTCGGGAAGCAGAAAAGGCGAGAACGCCAACGACTTTCAAAAACCTAAGGGACAGTCATGATTTGGGACTCTTGGGGCACTCTTGGGAGGCCTCTTGGAGGCGTCTTGGGTCGTCTTGGGTCGTCTTGAAGACCTCTTGGGCCGACTGGGGCCATCTTGAGCTTCTTGGAGTGATCGTTCGGCGACTCGGGGCCCTCTTGGACCGTTTGGGGGGGCTCTTGGGGCCCTCGTGGCCCGTCTTGGGGCCCCCTTGGCCTCGAACAAGTCGCGCGAGAAGCTGCGAACTTTGCAATGTGGGCCCCGGACTCCGCAAAGAATTTTCAGGAGCGAGGATCGAGGCTTACAGGATTGGGCAATGGCTCTGATGACACGCCCAGTCCGTGCCCAGCGGCAGAGTGGCGGATAAACGTGCAGGCAGAATCATAGATATAGATATTCGAGCCCCCCGGGGCCCACAAACATCCGTAGCCACTGCCTCTTTGTGTCCGGGCATCAGTTCCCAGGCTGTGGATATGTACAGATCCCAACCAGATTCCAGCCTCGCAGAAAACGGACGACGACAACGATCGACGACGACGCCTTCGTTTTCGAGGTTTTGAAGCTAGGTTCTCATTGCCACGGCTGGTCGCTGTCTGGGTGAATGGTCAGGGCGACCCGCGCGAGGGCGCTCCGCCGCCACGGCTGGAGAGGATGCCCGGGCAGAACACCCCTGGGAGAGGTCCGTGGAGGACGTGGCATTGGGATCGCCACGACGTGGTGCCTTCCTGCGCCCCCAGGTATGAGAGCGGCCGCATCAGCAACCTGTGCATGCTTGCCGGCAGCATGTTTCCGCAGGAGGGGGCCGGACTCCGATCGAGACCCGGGCGTAGCGCTCTTTCAGACCGGCGCTCTCGCCGGCCTTTGGGCCACCGGACCCTCACGGACTGATCAGGCTCGAGGGATCGACCAGAAAACGGACGGCACCACCCCACCTACGGCCTTCCATGTCGCGTTACGGCCCATCGTGGGTCGGTCGCGTATATACCACGCAGAAGCCCACGCCAGATCTCATGGTGTATACGGCAGGCCCGCTGGGGCCGTCGGCGGGGTGGTGTCGTTTGTTCTCTTGCTCAAGAGATGCTGCCTGAAGGCTGGGTGAAGGGCTCCATGTCCAGCCGCACGGGAGGCTGATCGCGCTTCGCCGGTCGCGGCCGGGGACGGGCAGCTGCCCTTCTCGAGGCCGGCCTCGCGAGGGCGCGGAGGCGGCGGCGCGGTCGCGACTGCTCACGAATCTGACTGTTTGTGCGCGGCGTCGGGCCTCGGACACTTGGAGGCGCTCGCACTCATATCCCATTCACACAAACACCACCCGTGCGGATAAACATTCACAGTTCTGCTTGGGCAAACACAGACTCACTTAAACTCAGGCGCACCGACACTCGGACCCGCTCGCACGGACTAATTCACACACTCAGACCCATTCACAGCTTCTCACACCTATCATGCGTCGCTCATGTTCAGACCACGCTAACACAAATTCAGTCACACTCAGATGCACTCACGCGCAGACTATCTCCCACTCGCCGTAGCAGGCTTGGCGCTTGGACACCCCAGGGAGGAGCCGCCCGGGGTGGTTGCAGGTCCCCGTTCGCGGCCAGATCGCTCGGATATATCAGACGGTTTGTGTGCTTGGTCGCTCAGACTCATCTATGTTGAGAGCCCAGTGATGATCCCGACAACGGCAGTCGTGGCGCTTGGGCACCCGACGGAGGAGATGCCAGGGGGTTCTGCAATTCCCCGTTCACGGCTTTGGGTACGTCGCAGGCGGTTTGTGTGCTTGGCTGTTCAGAATGGCTTCTCCGGGGGTCCCAGTGATCACTGCGATATAGCGGGCGTGGTGTTTAGGTACCTCCGGAGCCGCCAGATGTATTAGCATGTCACCGTTCGCGGCCAGATTGTGGGGATGTCTCAAGCGGATTGCGCGCTTCGCTGCTAATATTATGTCGGGCGTGTCCCCCTACAGGGGGATTTTCGACGAAAAATCAAAAATACGCCAAAAATGCTCCAAGAAGGTCGAAAAACATTCCAAAAATAGTCCCCAGACTATTTTTGGATTATTTTTTTGTTATTTCTGGGGTATGTTTTGTTTTTTCGTCGAAAATCTCCCTGTAGGGGGACACGCCCGACTTAATGCTAATACCCATCCCCCATAACCCACGGACCAAAGCAGTGCCGCAGATGTGGCACTGGGGCGCCCCGAGGAGGAGCTGCCGGGGGTGTTCGCATCTCCCCGTTCGCGGCCAGACTGTGGTCATACCCCAAGCGATTTGCGTGTTCGACTGAAGTTTTGTTTTTTTGTTTATTTAAAATCATTTTCTCGAAATTTGAAAGGTCGTTAGAGCTCTAGTATTTTTCCCCATATTCGATCTTATTCCGCTCGCTATCTTAATCTCAGGTCGATCGGGTACGTATCACTGTCAAAAAGCACTCAGGCGGGATCGGCCGTCTCTTTTGAGAGCCTTGTGATCGTTCCGGTATGGCAGGCGTGGCGCTGGGCCATCCCATCCGCCAGGGGTGTTAGCATTTCCCCGTCTGCGGCCAGACTGTGGTCATACCCCAAGCGGTTTGCGTGTTCGCTGGCTCCGACTCGTCTGCATCGCTCGGACGTGTGCATTTTTCTTTCGGCGAGGACTATCGAGGAGCCTCCTTGATCATTTGGCGAAAAAGTCACGCACGAAACCGAAGAAAACACAGGGAATGGACGCCCAGTTGAGAGCCTTGTGATCATTCCGGTATGGCAGGCGTGGCGCTTGGGCATCCCGTCCGCCAGGGGTGTTGGCATTTCCCCGCTCGCGGCCAGATTGTGGTCATGCCCCAAGCGATTTGCGTGTTCGCTGGCTCCGACTCGTCTCTTTTGACTTGGCATCGCTCGGACGTGTGCATTTTTCTTTTGGCGAGGACCATCGAGGAGCATCCTTGATCATTTGGCGAAAAAACCACGCACGAAACCGAAACACCGAAAAAATCAGGGAATGGACGTCCGAGCGATGCCCAGTTGAGAGCCTTGTGATCATTCTGGTATGTCAGGCGTGGAGCTTGGGCATCCCATCCGCAAGGGGTGTTTGCATTTCCCCGTTCGCGGCCCGATCGTGGGGGTGTGTCAGGCGGCTTGCGTGTTTGCTTGCTCGGACTCGTCCCTTTTGAGGGCCCAGTGGCTACCCCGTTTTTGCGGGCGTGGGACTTGGCCACCCCAGAGGGGGAGCCGCCAGGGGTGTTTCCATGGCTCCGTTGTCGGCCAGATTGCGGGAACCTCTCAAGGGAAAACGGCGGTTTTGGCACCCCCGGCCCTGTTCCCTTTCAGGGCCCCCAAATCATCCCGATACAGCAGGCATGACACTTGGGCACCCCACGGGGGAGCCGCCAGGGAGCGTTCAATCGAATGGTGTTTTTTGGATACCTCTGGAGGGGGCCCTTTCTGTACGGAACGGCTCTCCATTCGGTCGTGTCGTCATCAGAATGCGTTCCAGGCAGTGCAGGTCGGGGGAGGGGATTTTGAGTTGAGGGGGCGGTGAGGCATGCCAACGACGGATGCTTTGGAGCGCCTTAGCCCCGTTGGTTGGCCCAGATTCCTGGAGTCAACATCCTGTAGAGCACTGTGGCCTGATGTAGCATACGGCCTGGGGCCACCTGGGTCTAGACCGCACAGGCTGGGCCAACGAATCAACAGAGCCTGGGCACCGTGGCCAGCGACTACAGCGTGGAAGTGCATCTTGGCATCGAGGCACCCTCCAAGGCCGCGTGAAGTCATTGGCACCATACTTTGTCATCGCAGCCCCTCGGCAGTTCGGGGATGCACCCACCTGAGCCACCTGTCTCTTCATGGTCTGTTCTTCCTCACCTGCCTCCTTCAACGTTGCGGTATCTTCAGCAGCTGAGGATCGGATGAAGCAGGGTCGGGACAAATCAGGTGGTGGGGGGGGGGGGAAACTCGAGGATATGCACGTCTGGTACGGCTGGACCGCGGTTCATAACGCCCAAAACTTGATGACATAATACCACCACGTCATGTATCAACACATGCTTGATTGATCTAGTGGGTTATCGTTGTACGAGTGGGTGTAGCAGACAATTTCAGTTGACTATCTTCTGAGGTTGTACTAGGTCTGTTGGTACAGTCCGTGCAAGAACTGATTGACCTTTGAATACCACTCAGCGTGTTACAGGTGTCTGACTTCTATTTCCGACCGTTGGTTTGAAATGACCGACGGCCACAAATTGACCAACGGTCCGAGGGTCACACATGACCGCTGGCATTGTTGCCCACAATTTCTGCTAGCGGGTTTGACGCATGAAGGTTCGGCACTCCAGCATGAGTGGTCGACGCACGGGTGGTCGAAACCCACGCATGAGCGGGTCAAGGCATGAAGGGTTGTTGCCCGCGTGAGAGGGTCAATGCATGAAGGGCCCATGCCTCAGACAGTGGTGGCCAACGCATGAAGGGCCAAGGCCCCAGTGCATGAGAGGCCGACGCGTACGGATCATGATGGGTCAATGTATGAAGGGCTGATTCCCCAGCAGGGGTGGGTCCTCGGCTCTCACCTCCGCGCGACACCCCTGCCGTCACTCTGACCACTGCTCCTTAGCAGGAGCGCGGGAGGAAGAAGGGGAAGAGAGCGTGGAAAGGAAGGGAAGGAAGGAGAGAGTGAGCGTCCCGAGTTCCAGTGATCTCGTGCCTCGAAAGGTTTGAAGCCCCGCGCCTGCAACGGCTGTATGGACGACTCTGGGCCGTCCAAGCAGGCCAGAGATGAGCAGACACACGGATGCCAACATCTGTTCGTCAACAGGGATCGGCATCCCAGCTCGCACCTCACCGGGGTGCGCCATGAAGACGCAGCGCAGTCAGCCCGCACCGTAAGGACGAGCGACTTTCCAAGATTCCTCTCGCATCGGCCCATCTTTGGCCGCTTTCGTTGGCCGCGCCTTGCCCATCAAAGAGTCGGCATGGTCTCCCCAAGGCCCCTTGCATCCTCCATCGTGCGTCCTTGGTGTGCGGGCTGACAGCAGAGCTGTGCCGCGGGGCCGGCTGACCGACGCCGGGGGGGGGGGGCAGGCGACGGGGGCCAGGGAGCAGCTCCCTCGGCGACACGTTCAAAGCAGCAGCTCGTGTGGAGGGAGGGGCAGGTCAGGTCAGAGGCCGTGCATCTGTGAGACGCGTTGGCAAGCGCATCCGGACCAGTGTTGGACCCGTGCTTGGTGGTGTGCCTACCTCCAGGTTGTGATAGCGCGCGGCGGAGAAAGGAGCGCATCACGATTGTGGCGCTGAAACAAGGAGCGCAACGCGACCGTGAGGGGGCATGGGGGGGGCAATAGGACAGAAAAGGCAGATGAACCGCTCGAGCTCCCAGGACCTCGTGCTTTGTGAAATGTGGCACGCCGCGCCCGCAGCGGCTGCACGAACAGCCTTGGGCCGTCCCACCAGGCTGGTGATGAGCTCACTCGCAAGGCAAGTATATAGACCAACTTGGTTGTCAATGGAGTCTGCGAGGCTTGCGACGGGGTGGCGGATGCCAATACCCGTCCATTGACCGTCCAAGGAGCGGGTATTTGCTTGAAGTGATTTACCCCGTTGAACTACTTGGCAACAGAAACACGTTCCCTGTATCGCCCCTGTGGCGTACTCCGAAGGGTTCGGGTGGTGTTGATCGAAGACCAATGGCCACCTTCCACACGTCCCATGCGTCCCCCCCTACTACCCAAAGGATCCCTGCGCACCTTCGGGACGGGGAGGCGGAGGAGGAGAAGAACGGGAGGAGGAGGACCTGCATTTCGGACTTGCAGTGATGATTCTGGCCCTGGGGCCGCTTTACCACCCTGGCGTAACCCAGCAACCGCCCCGCTGTGCCGGATTGAATGGGGGCGGGGCGGGCTCGGGCGCGGGGAGAGAGGAAAAGGAGCGACAGGGAGGGCGGGGGCGGGGGCGGGGAGAGGAGGGGGAGAAGGCGGCAAGAGGAAGAGGGGGACGGGGGGCGAAGGGGCGGGACGGAGGAGGTGGAACAGGGGGAAAGGGCAACAGAGGGGGACAAGGCGCGCGGCACGAGGGAGAACGCTGCCCACGGCAGCGCCCAGCCGGTTGCACAACGCTGCCAGGACGCCGGCCAGGTGCTTCCCCCTCGCGAGCTCAGGTCGTCCGCCGGGTGGCAGGGGAGGGGGCGGGGACGAGCTATAGGTGCGCTCGCGTCATAGCTGACGTCCTGCGCCTCCCTATACTGTCCCTTACCATGGCGCAGATCTCCCCTCCCTTTGCCCAGTCGGATGCCGGGCAGGGTATAGTGATCCCTGGAGGGTACGCGATGCATATCGCGAAGCACGCCGTGAATCTCGAGGAGAGCGAAGCCGCCAATACGAGCGCCCCCTGGAGCGGCCCCCGCCTCGCGTCCTGCCGAGCTGTGCCTCCCGGGCACTCCCATACCCTCGCGAGCTCCGGGCGCCCGCCGGGTCGCAGGGGCACGGGGCGGGCGGGGGGGGGGGGAAGGCGGCGCGCGGCGCGCGGGAGAGAATGCTGCGCGCGGCGCCAAGAGGTTGAGGCCGCCGCCATACTTTCTGCGGCCGCCCGCGAAGTATCCCTCCCCCCTCTCGAGCTCCAGCCGCCCGCCATGCGGCAGGGGTTGGGCAGGGGACGCAGCGCGCGTGAGAGAACGCTTCCTGCAGCGGCGCCCAGCCGACGACACGCACCAGGAACTCGAAGCCGCCACCGAGCGCCCCATGGAGCGGCCCCCGCCTCCCCTCCTCCAGGTCGCCTGCCAGGCACTCCCACCGTCGCGAGCTCCAGCCGCCCGCTGGGGCCCGCGGGGGAACGCTGCCACCGGGCGCCCCGTGGATCCCCGTGGAACGGCCTCCCCTCTGCGTCTGCCAGGTCGCCAGCAGCTACTCCCCCGGCGTTCGCTCCAGCTGTCCGCTGGGTGGCATGGACGCGGGGGGGTGGGAAAGAAGGCGCGCGGCGCGCGAGAGAACGCTGCCTACGGCAGCTCCCGGCCGGGGCCCAGCACCAGGCGCTCGAAGCCACCGCCGAGCGCCCCGTGAAACTTCCCCCGTTCCGCTTCCGCTGCCATGTACTCCCCCCGCGCAAGCTCCAGCTGGCCTGTGAGTGGCATGTCTGGGGGGAAGGAGCCGCGAGGCGCGCGGGAGAGCGCTGCCAACGGGATCGCCCGAACGGAGACCAGCACAAGGAGCTCGAAGCCGCCGCCGAGCGTCCCGTAGAGCGGCCCCAGCTTCGCCTCCGTCACGTCGCTTGCTGGGTGCCGTGCTCCGCCTGTGCAATGTTGGTTGGTGGAGGGGAGAGGAAGAAGCGGAGGAGGAGGAGGAGGAGGAGGAGGAGGAGGAGGAGGAGGAGGAGAAGGCGGAGGGGTAGGGAGAGGAGGAGGAGGGAGGAGGGGAGGAGGAGGAGGGGCGGAAGGAGAGGAGGGGGAAGAAGGGGAAGGGGAGGAAGGGGAGGAAAGGGAAAAAAGGGAGGAGGAGGAGAAGGAGGAGGAGGAGGATGAGGAGGAGGAGGAGGAGGGGGAGGAGGAGGGTGGGAAGAAAGGAGGGAGGGAGGGAGGCAGGGATGGATGGAGGCAGGGGGGAGGAGGAGGACGGAGGAGGAGGGAGGAGGAGGGAGGAGGGGGAAGAGGAGGAGGGAGGAGGAGGGGGGGGAGGCGGAGGAGGGGTAGGCCATGGGTGCGATTCAGGACAGATCGGGGGGGAGTTTGAGGTGACAGGGATGGGTTCGCAGCCGATTTCTCGTCCGCAGTCCCTGAGACCCCCCCCAACAACAAACATCAAAAGGTGTAGGAACAAGGGGGGGCTCAGGGATACACCCCCAGGGCGGGTTACTCGAACGCGCCCCTATCGATGATTGACGCCCCCATGGTATACTCCCGAGCTGGGGCCGAGCATAGTGGCCCCGCCGAAAACCCAGCGGAGTCGAGGATTGCAGTCGCCATGACCCCGCAAAGAGGGGGGGAGGAGGTGGATGAGGGGCAGGCCATGAAGATATCCGTCCCCAACGGCGTCCTGACGGCCGTGCTCACGTACGCGGTCTACCAGTTGGAGGCCCTGGGGAGCGTCGACCTGGACAACATCCTGATGAAGGATCCCGGCAGTGCCAATGGGGATCACCACTAGGGGGGCCGCCAACGCCTCCTGGAAATCGAGCATCGAGGAGGAGGGATGATCGAGGATCGAGCAGATTTGGGGCGTTTCTGAAAGCCGTTGTGGGTCCAATGGGGGGTCCTGGGCGTCCACGGGGTATCCGTCTCCTGGAGGAGGTAGCGACCCCACTCCAGTGGGGATCTCCTTTGGAACGGCTTGGTAAGGACAACGCCATCTGGGGGGGCTTCAGCTTCCTGCTGGGCTTCCTCGTGGTGTTCCGCACGTCGCAGGCGTACAGCCGCTTCTGGGAGGGCTGCACGTCCACCCACAACATGGGCGCTGAGTGGTTCGACGCCTGCAGCTCGCTGATAGCCTTCTGCAAGCACGCCGCGCCCGAGAAGCAGCAGGAGGTGTGGAGGTTCCAGAACCTTGTGGTGCGGCTCTTCAGCATGCTGCATTCTTCAGCGCTCGGGGACATCGAGGACTGCAGTCACGGTCTGGACGTGTCTGCGTATCAGGCCTTCCGGATGGAGCTGATCGATGCGTCGGCGATCGACGAGGTGAGCTTAAAAACCATCAGAGATTCGGACTCCAAAGTCGAGCTTATCTTCCAGTGGATCCAGCAGATAATCGTGGTGAACATCAACACAGGCGTGATGACCATACCACCACCGATCTTGACGCGCTCGTTCCAAGAGATGGCCAGCGGCATGGTGCACTTCCACAACGCTTTGAAGATCTCGACAATCCCCTTCCCCTTTCCCTACGCGCAGACCTGCGAGCTCATGCTGTGGATGCACTGGATGATGGTACCTTTCATCGTTTGCCAGTGGGTAGACATATGGTGGCTTGCAGGAATGTTCGCCTTTATCCAGGTGTTTTGCTTCTGGATCATCAACATGATATCCATAGAAATCGAACACCCTTTCGGCTCCGACCCTAACGACATTGACGCGTTGCAGATGCAGAAGATGATGAACTGCCACCTGCGCCTGCTGGTCAAGGATTCCACGAAGAGGACCCCAACATTGATCCACGACGATGTCAAAACGCACTTTCAGCGTGTCGTCGACGATGAGGGCGATGACGACGACGAGGGACGGATCACGAGAATTCAATCGCGGCGCTCATTCTTCAATATTTGGACGACCATGTGCATGGACGAGAACACGACCGAAGGGGGCGGCCACGTGACAATTGCTGGCCGTGTGAGCAGCGTCCCCATGCGCAACAGCACTGTCTCTGAGAATTCTGAGAGGGCCGAAGGGGACGGCCGAGTGACCATTGCTGGCCGTGTGAGCAGCGTCCCCAAACGCAACAGCAGTGTCTGTCAGAATTCTGGGGCCTCGAGGAGCACGATTCGTGGCAGCATGCGAAGGTCCGAAGCCCGTGGCAGCTTGTGGAGTCGTGCTTCCTTCAGCACTAGCGGCGCCCAGGCCGTGCCGCCCCTGAAGCTGCCGCTGGGGACCACTAGCGAGCTGGAGCAGTCGCTGGCGAAGCCGGCGGTGTCGACCGACGCGGAGGCCAACATGGGCAGCAGAGACAGCAGAGAGGCACGATCGGACGACGGCGCAAGCGACAGGCCGTGGACGCCGTCGGCCAGCTCCAGCAGCGAGAGGCCAGAGCCGGTCCTGCAGCCGGAGGTGTCTCACGGCGCCAGGCCCCCGAGCAGCCAGGAGCGCGCGGGGCTGGGCCACGGAGCTCCGCGGAGACCAGGCGCCGGCTCGTGGCAGGCAAAGGGGCGCTGGAGATGCAGCGGCAGAGGGAGCTGATCCAGGGGACTTTTTCCAGGGCCCAGGCCCTTCGCGTCCAGGCGGCGGGCAGCGTGTGCGGATTGCCCCGCCCCCCCCCGGGAACGGAGGAGCTGTGCAGGTTCAAGCTGCGCGGCCTGTGAATGTCGCGGCCTGGCGTCCTTTCCCATACCTCAGGGCGTCACTGCAATGTCACTGCGCTCCGCGATCGTCGGATAGTACTAGGGGGAATGCGCACACTGGGACACTGAGAGAGGAGAAGAGGATGAAAGGGTGGTCCGCAGGTGATGGTTGGGCGGCCGCGCCGACCCAATGGGGCAGCGCGGCCGCTGCCGCCGCTATCGCGCTGGAGCCCCGAAACGCCTCCCATATTTTGAAGAGCTTAAAGCTGCATTCTGATTATGATGTTCGGAGTTCCACGCAGATTTCTTGGATCGTCGCTGGACTCCAATCTCTGGCGCCCGGAGCTCGCAAGGGGCCGGAGGCGACGCCTGACGGTTCCAGCGCATATCCGAGAGATCCGTGCGGACCTTTTTGCTCCGTTTTCACCTCGCCTGTCCTATTTTTTTTTTGTTGCTGACTAGGCCTGCTGCAGGTGCAGTGGAAGAGGCGTCCCAGCGGGGACTGCCCCTGCCGTCTCACCGCCACTCACACCCAACCAGCCCAGCATCGGTCCAGATTGCGCGTGGGCGTTGATGGAAATTATGGCCATCAGGTGCTCGATCCGATTCCGCCCGGCCCGTCCGATTCAATTCTGATTTTCCGACGATCCGGTGCGGCCCCATGATTGCACAGCCCTGCTGTGCATCCCGACGCAGCCGATCCGACTTGACTTCGACTCCGTGGAGCTTGTTGTTTTTGTCTACTGAAGCGGTGACGTCTGTGACGGGGGGCCCTCCCCCCATTGGTTTGAGGCGGTGCTTACAGGCACGTTGTGGTGTTGACAAGCACGCTGCGATGCGCTCACAGGCGTACTGTGGCGCACATCGCCTCGTCTTCCGCCTCCGCCTCCAGCGCTGACCACACACGGTCCGCATTTTTTGGTTCAGCGCTCGGTCCTACTCGTACATCACGCTCGCCATCCTCCCGCACTTGTATCACGCGGTTGGTTTCCACATGTTCTGGATGTGAATATACTCATATGATTCGTGCGTGTTCCAGCTCCCTGGTGTCAACCTCCTCCTCCTCCTCCTCCTCCTCCTCCTCCTTCCCCTTCTCATCATCAGCAGCATCACCATCACCATCACCATAAGCAACACTATCACTATCCGTCTCCTCCTTCTTCTTCCGCCTCATTTCCCCCACGATCTTCCCAACTCACCTTTTCTATCTTTCCTCTGAACCCTCGTCCTCAACGCGCCGGCTCCGTTTCCAAGCCCCATCCTGAGCATATTCTGACCCTTGCCTCCTCACTATCCACCTCTTCAACGCACTGTACTTTCTCAGCCGCATCCCTCAACCCTCGTTTCCAGCCCCCAGCCTCACGCCACTCCGCACTCCGTGGAGCCTCCCGGAGACGTGCCTCTTGCCATTTCTCTCCCCTCTCTCTCGCCCTCTCCCTTCAACCCGCTCGTGGGGCCCATGGGCCTCGACGAGGGAGCTCGTACCCTCGATCAACGTCCTGACCAGCAGGTTGGCCACGCATGGCGTTGCGGCCCTGGCGATAGCCGGATGCACGCGTGGCCGCATGTCTTCCCGGCGCTCGGCCTCTTCGTGCTGCTGGGCACGCGGGCTCCCCGCACGTGCCTCCAGCGGGGGACCTCCGCACGCTCTGCGTGGGCATCCAGCCGCGTATGTTTCCAGCCATGTGTGCGTTGCTTGCTCGGGGCTGGGGCCAGGGCGGCGGCATTCCAAGGAGGCACCTCTCCCCATTTGGAGTTCCTCCTGCTTTCGCAGGTGCTTCGCCTGGGAACCCACGAAGGGGTGGGGACCTTCTTCTCAGAGGCCCCCATGCATTCTTCAGGCGATCGCAAGCATGGATCAAGGGGGCCTGGATTAGCGACGGTTCCCGTTTCCATGGGAAATGCGGATTTCCGCCGCCGAACGAGGCGGCACCGGCCACATTTTGGAAAGGGCACCTCCCCCGATCCATGGATGTGGCGACCGCGCGCCAAATCCATGGATCGCCAATCCATGCTTGCGCGCCCGCGAATTCCTCCGAGAGTCACCACTCCACCACTCTCACCCTGCCTCCTTTGACGCGCCGCCAGAGGGGGGCGCGGTAGACTGCAGTCCATCAGCTTTGGGCAAGGGCACCATCCAGCGATGGGATTGTCTCCGTCTCCATTTGTGCACTGCTCGCGTCTATCTCCTCCAGGGAAGGCCTGGCATCGAGCTGCCCAGTGTCTTCTGGTTAGGAGTATTATCGTTTTCTGTTCGTTGAGACTTCATTGTCGCCTAGACAGATGGAGGATCCTTCTGCATTCACATCATGTTCATGGCACTCACCGAGAGCGTTAGTTATGGAAAGCATTCGGCCGCAATCGACGTGGTCATTGGGCGCATCTATCGGGATCGAGTGCACTGAGGTCCCACCCAGTGCCGGACGTGGTGTACTCGTACTGGTTGCCCAAAGAGTTTCTGTGGTGGTACGCCCCCAGGTCGATGCTGGAGTTCAGGAGCCACGCATCGGAAACTGGGATTTTGTCGCATGCGTTCTCTTGCACTGGCTCTCCTATCATAATATTTCTCGGGGCGCGCTTTACGTTGCCTTTCTCCGACATCCTGCCCAGTCTCCTCTCAAGACTTGGTTCTTGAGGGGCACCCCTGCTGGTGATTGTGACACCGCGTCGGCCCCTCAGGAAGAATCACACGCACGTCTCGAGCAGCTTCCTGTTCAGACAGTGGGCCACCTGGGGCAGCCTCCACGCCTCCATCGGCCCCGAGTGTGGCGAGGACTTCGAGGACGCGAGCTCAGGACCAATTACTGCCCGCTGGCCCCCAGCCCGTCCTCTCGATCGCACACGTTTTGGGGAAGATCTGGGCCTTTGGGGCCCTCGAGGGCCTCCTCCCGTGGACGTCCCCTGCGATCGTGCATTTGCAGCTTGTCCACACCAGCCGTTTTCGCCCGGACTCGGGCCCCCCGGGGCCTCCGCAGACAGATCCGACTCGCGGAAACCCGCAGAGAGATAAGATCTAGGGCTCTGGCTATGATTTTCCGCACAATGATTTGTTTCGCAGCGTCGGATCTCAGGGTCTGTGAAGTCGTTGGCTTTTTGAGGAGCGTCTGCGGCGGCGTCACGCGCGACCACCACGAACAGCGTGACAGCAGCCTTTTAACACGACGTTACCGAAGGAGGAGAGTAGGGTGGAAAAGGAGGAGGTTGAAGAGGTGGAGGAACACGAAGGGCGCCGATACCTCCACCACGTAGATGGGCCCTCTGAGAAATCGACTGTTGAAGCTCAGCATAAATTGAGCTTTGCATGTGCGCTTCTCCCAGCGCGGCCGCACACATCACACGCCTGTGTTTGGCCTTGGGGGCGCAAAGATCCAAGCCGCCCTGGGGCAGGCCTCCCCCGCGGAGGAACGCTCCCTCTGATTATGATATTCGTTCCTGGGTGTGCTCTCTCAGTCGCCTGGCAAGTCACCCTGCGTGCACGTCGAAGGTGGACCCCGCGTGAAGGTGTGGCCAACGTGCCCCGGGCCCGGTTCTTCGTCGTTTGCCGTTTGTTGCGATGGCCCCAGGGTTTGAGACAGATTTTCAGAGAATCCAACATGGAGAAACATGAGAACCCGCGGCGCTCTTGGAGGTACGGGCTCGTCGTTGAATGTAGCGCGCCGCCTTTGTCAGCCTTCCCCTGGGTCAGCCCAGACCAGCGGGCACAGCCACAGGGAGCACAACGGCCGCGTGACGGATCGTAAGATTTCGCCATCCGTGTTCATCGACACCCCTGAGATCCGACGACGCGGACAAAAAACAACATCGTGAAACGTCGCAACCAGAACCCTAGACCTTACCTTTCCCAGACTTCCGACGACTTGATTCGTTCAACACGGCATCCCCGGAAGTCCCGCCCGACCCCTCCCTCAGTGCCGCTTTGTCTTCGCGAGCCGTTTTATGACGGCCCTGGGGCCCGGCGAGGGTCCCCACAGGTTGAAGACGGCCAAAAGCCGCCCGCCGTGATTTTTTTTGTTCCCACGGCGCGAGCACATGTTTGGCTCGAAGACAGCCGCCCCACCACCGAAGGACCGATTCTGGGCCTGGAGCGTCAACGCCACGGACGCCTCCGCCTCCATCGCGTCCCTTGCGGCCAGGCGGCCAGCGACCGCCGCCGCAGGCTGCCGGGACGACCCGAGCTTCGAGGGGCCGTGGAAGGGGGCCTCGTGCGAGGCGTGGGCGGGCTGGGTGCGAGCCCAGAGGTTCCGGTGCGAGGACCCCGAGGCGGGGACCTCGTCCAGGGCAGCCGCCCGGCGGATCGGTCTTCCGGGACCTCGGCGGGCGGTCGGCAGGGAGGAGCAGTCGGACCCCCATGGGGCCAAAGAAGCACGTCCGTGCCCACCGCCCGCTGGGGTCACAAGACGTCGGTTCCCAGGGCGGCGGATGTGGACACAGATCCCCGCCTCGCGGAGGACTACCGGGAGCAGGCCCCGCTCCTGCTGAGGACTGCCGTGAGGCAAACGGGTCCCGAGGGGAAGGGGTCCTGAAGTTTTTGTTTGGCCGTTCTCGCCCCCTCCTCATCGGTCCCCTGGACAGTCAGAAACCGGCCCAGCTTGACAAACTCAATTTCCTGCCAAGTCGCTTCCGATGAGCTTTAGGAGCCTCCCTTGCCAGGGTTGGAACTGGTACCAGAACGGTGTGCGAAAACACACTGGACGGGCATGAAGAACTGGCCTTTGGGCCACAGGCATCCGTCGTCTTGACTGCTTCAAGGCGGTCCCCGGAAGCCCCGACCCTTTCCCCAGGGGCTGGCTTGCCATCCCGGGCACCGAGGCCTAGCGAGGACCTCGGAGGCCGAAAACGACAAAAGCCTCTCGGGGTCCGCGAAAGGGCCAGCCCTGTCCGCCCTTGTGGCGGCCGTCCCCCCGCGATTCGCGCACGTCGTCTTGGACGGCCAGAACTCGGGTTCGACCCCTCACGACTAGCTGTTCGATCGCGATGTTTTCGCGACGCGAGGGGTTCTTTGGGGGCAGCGGGGCCCTTGGGGTCCAGGGCCCGTTCCCCTCAGCCGGGGGCGTCTCAGAGGGGGGAATGACCACAGAGGCTGGTGGATACCACAGCTAAAGCCATGGTCTCCCCCAAGATCTCATGGCCTCTCCTCTTATCTCGATGCGTTCCCCGGCCACCCCCCATGGTCCCCGCACGTGCCTCCGACCATGAACCGCACCCCCCCCCCCCTGGACGACCTCTTGGCCGCCCCCGGGCTCAAAGACTCGCTCCGCGCACGCCACGTCAGGAGCTGCCCGGTCGCCTGCGGGACCTGCGAGGCCGGGGAGGGCGCGGAGCCCAAGGTCGGCAAGGGCCGCGCCTCTGCCGGCGACGTCGGCCCGGAGGCCAAGGCGCAGAGGGGGCAGAACACCCCTATCCCAACCCGAAGGTCCCAGACACCCCGAAATTTCGGGTTTGGGGGTGCACGGGTTCCGCGGTGATTTCTCCGCGTGGGCCCAACGGCGGCTTCCAGCTGGGTTGGGGTGGCCTGGTGGGTAGTCAGAAGGAGCCCTACGCAGCTGACGTTCGTGTAGACCAGGGTACAACATGCAGCATAACCAGAAACTGGCATAGATCTGCGCGGACTTCCTGTACCTGTGCTGGATCTCCCACGCTGGAAAGAGTCCAGCGAGGATCCAAGAAATCCGTGCGGACCTCTGAACGATGTCTGACTGCTAGGGGCTTCCCAGCGCGTCTCGCTGGCTGCGCTGACGCGCCGGCACTTCAGTGCGAGTCGGTGCTTCTTGCGGGCGCGGTGGCGATGACGTGGGCATCGTCAGACACGATGATTGTAATGCCGGACGATGATGACATTGATGACGGCAAGGCCACTGACGGCGCCGATGCTGATCGCGCCGATGACGATGGTGTCCACGCGTCGGTGATAAGAGTTCGGGAATGATTTCGTCAAGCGTTCGGCCGACACGCGAGAGTGGCCCGCACGATATTATTTGACAGGGACGGCACCCCCCTCTCCAGCACGCGCGCAAGGGCTTTCGAATACTTTGGACATGCGCGCGCAAGAGACCCCTTTCATCGCATGTGCTGAACATGTCCAAAACAACACGCATGGTTTACGAGAAATTCGCAAAAACGCGTGATCTTTGTGAGAACCACGTTGCAGCACCATGCGGTTGTCCTTTAATGTTTCGGGGGCGCTCGATCTTGAAACCCTCACGAACCCCAATGTGTTGGAAGGATTTTGCTTGCGCGCGCGACGACGCGCGCGCGTGGACTCGTGTTTCATTGGTTGCAGGGGATTCTTGGCAGTTGATGAGGTTTGATGAACGAGTGGGCGCGCATCGTATGTATCTTCTGATGTGCATGAATCAAAAAACGAGCGATATACCAGATTGGCAGTGTTGATACGAATTCGTATGTCGAATACACGATAGTGGAGAACCGATGTAATTGCACATCCCCAGGCCAGACGGATAACCCCGGGGGCAGTGGATTTCTTTTTATTCGAGATATCATCAGAGTGAGGGGGCCGAACGGTCATTCACTGTCCCTGGGTGCGTGGCTGATGTGGAATTCCGCGGTGCGGATTGTTGTTGTTGTTTGTTGTTGTTGTTGTTGCTGTTGTTGTTGTTGTTGTTGTTGTTGTTGTTGTTGTTGTTGTTGTTGTTTGTTTGTTGTTGTCGTCCCACCCGCAACCCGCCCCGCGACCCACCCGCGACCCACCCCGCGACCCACCCCGCGACCCACCCGCGACCCACCCGCGACCCACCCGCGACCCACCCCGCGACCCACCCCGCGACCCACCCCGCGACCCACCCCGCGACCCACCCCGCGACCCACCCGCGACCCGCGCGCCCACCCCGCGACCCACCCGCGACCCACCCGCGACCCACCCGCGACCCACCCGCGACCCACCCGCGACCTACCCCGCGACCCACCCGCGACCCACCTTCGACCCAAACCACGTTCAAGGTACAAACCACAATTTTCGGCGCCTGCGGCGGGCTTTTTTGCATTCCTTCCAAGTGGAGAGCCCGCGACACATCCCGTGACCAACTCGCGACCAACCCGCGACCCAAACCACGTTCAGGGTACAAACCACATTTTTCGGCGCCTGCGGCGGGCATATTTTGCATTCGTTTCAGGTGGAGAGCCCGCGGCCCACCCGCGACCACGTTCAGGGTACAAACCACATTTTCGGCGCCTGCGGCGGGCATCCTTTGCATTCGTTCCCTGTGGAGAACCCGCGGCCCACCCGCGACCCAAACCTCGTTCCGTGTACGAACCAATTTTTTTGGCGCTTGCGGCGGGCTGCTTTTGCATTCCTTCCAGGTGGAGGTGGAGAGCCCGCGACCCACCCGCGACCTAAACCACGTTCACTGAACAAACCAATGCCGCACAAGCGCGGCGGCGGATTCTTGCATGCCGTCTGAGCCCGCAAGGACCTCTTCACGCCCCGCACATCCACGCCAGCCCGTCCAGCAACTTTGCCCTGGCGAGTTGCCTTGATCAGAGAAGGCGGGGAGCATAAAGTGGAAAAAAAGATTGCGTTGCAGTTATCTTGGGAAAGGAGGGGGAGGCAGGATGAGTAAACAGGGGACGAGGAGAACGTGGAAGAAGAGAGGATGTAAGGAGAACGTGGAGAAAGAAAAGGAGGAGGAGCAGGAGGACGAGGGGGAGGAGGGGGAGGAGGGGGAGGAGGAGGACGAGGAGGGGGAGGATGGGGAGGATGATGATGATGGACGACAATGGGAGGACGATGATGGAGGCCGATGAGGGGGAGGACGACAATGGGAGGACCATGATGAAAAGACGAGGGGGGGAGAGGGAGGACGAGGAAGAAGAGGAGGAGGAGGAGGGACGAGGTGGAGGAGGAGGATGACGATGACGATGAGGACGAGGAAGAGGAGGAGGAGAAGGAGGAGGAAGAGGAGGAGAAGGAGGAGGAGGAGGAGGTGGAGGAGAGCGCCATCGACAAGGAAGGTGGGGGCCACGAGGTCCGCCGGCTCGACGACGCCCGCGTCGCCCGCGCCCGCCCCCTCACCCTTATCCGCAATTGCAGGGTGCTACGTATTACTTTCGCGGCGACGAGGCGGCGAAGGGGCAGCGACGGCGGCAACAAAGCCGCCAGACCGGCAGACAGGCCCAGACGACGGGCGGCGACGAGGCGGCGATGGCGGCAACATGACATAGCGGCCAGACCGGCAGACAGGCCCAAACGACCAGCGGCGACGAGGCGGCGACGGGGCGGCGACGGCGGCAACAGAGCTGCCAGACCGGCAGACAGGCCCACACGACGGGCGGCGACGAGGCGGCGACGGGGCGGCGACGGCGGCAACATCGCCGCCAGACCGGCAGACTGGCCCACTCGACGGGCGGCGACGAGGCGGCGACGGGGCGGCGACGGCGGCAACATAGCCGCCTGACCGGCAGACAGGCCCAGACGACGGGCGGCGACGAGGCGGCGACGGGGCGGCGACGGCGGCAACACAGTCGTTAGAGCGTCTGACAGGTCCAATTCCTCAGAGCAGAAGTAAGAGCCCCGCAATGCAAGCACCGTTTGGGGAACATGCGCGACGACGGTGACGACGACGACGACGACCACCACGACGACCATGACGGCCATGACGACGACCACGACGACCGACGGCGGCGATGGTGGCGACGGCGACTACGACGACGACGGCGGCGGCGGCGGCGGCAGCCGCGGCGACGGTGGCGTCGACGGCGGCGACGCCGGTAGGCTGGCAAGGGCCGGGCGCCCCCGGCGGCTGCCGCCGCGACGGGCGCGGAGGCCGCAACTCCGATCGCAGTCGCCGCCGCCGCCCTCGGTTTTCCCCGCCGCCATCGGTCGTCGTCTGTCGTGCTCGTCGTCGTGGTCGCGGTCGCGGCCGCCGCCATCGGGCATGCTTGAAAGATCTCTTGGGCGTTTCCTGGCGTTCTCTGCCTGCTCTGGGCCTAGACATCCCTGGTGGCATCCAGGATTAATCCAGAGATCTTCTGTGACTTCCAGAGTTCGCCCTGGACAGCCGCTCGCCGTCGCCGTACGCCGCAGCATTCGCAGCCGTAGTCGGAGAAGGATTGAGGGGAGGCGGAGGAGGAGGAGGACGAGGAGGAGGAGGAGGAGGAAGAGGAGGAGAAGGACGGAGGAGGAGGAGGAGGAAAACGACGAGGCAGACGAAAAGGACGAGATGGGCGAGCGGACAGAAAGAAGAGTGAGAGTTCGGGCGCAGCATAACGTAAGGTTTCACGAGGCAGGGGCCACGTGCTGGGGCAGTTTCCTCGTTTTTGTTGTTGTGATTGTTGTGTTTGTTGCTGCTGTTGGTGGTGGTGTTGTTGTTGGTGTTGTTGTTGATGATGGTGATATTGTTGTTGCTGTTGTTGTTGCTGTTGTTGATGCTGTTGTGGTTGCTGTTGTTGTTGCTCTTGCTGTTGTTGCTGTTGTTGCTGTTGTTGTTGTTGTTGCTGCTGCTGCTGTTGTTGTTGTTGTTGCTGTTGTTGCTGTTGTTGCTGTTGGTGTTGTTGTTGCTGTTGTTGTTGTCGTTGTTGTTGTTGTTGTTGTTGGTGTTGTTGTTGTTGGTGTTGTTATTGTTCTTGTTATTGTTATTGTTATTGTTCTTGTTGTTGTTGTTGTTGTTGTTGTTGTTGTTGTTTTGTTGCTGCTGGTGTTATGATGTTGGTGTTGGTGGTGTTGCTGTTTTTGTTGTTGCTGTTGTTTTGCTGTTGAGTTCTCATTTCTGAAGAATAATTATTGTTGATCCCCCCACGGGTGCATACTGTTTTTTCTCAATCAAAGTGTGCCCCTCGACGTTCACACCCCTCTTTTTGACAGGGAAAGTCTTCATGCTCAAACTGGGCCCCTGGCCCCCGGGTTACAACAATAACGGCTCCCGCCTAAGACTTCCTTACAATGTAGCCAGGACCCCCGCTCCCGCCCGAGACTTCCTCGCATTTTACTCAGGAATCGCGCTCTCGCTTTGGACTTCCTTACAATTTATTCAAGAATCGCTCTCCCGGCGCTCTGGAGTCGCGCTCTCGCTGGAGACTTCCTTGCAACTTACTGAAGAATGACCTTGCGTTGGAATTTCCGGCAATTTGCCCAAGCGCCGCTCTCCCGACACCCAGGCACCCAGGAGTCGCGCCCGATGTGGCCCCATGTGCATGCCCTTCTTGGCCCCGCTGTCGCCATTTGTGCCCCCCTCACTGTCCTACACGGCCCAGTTGCTACCCTCAGTGGCCCCATAGTTGCCTTCTGGGGCCCCGCATTATCTGCACTTCGTGGCCCCCGCTCGTTCGCGCTCTTCGTGGCCCCATACGCATTCCCTTCGTGTCCTCGCTGTCGCCCTTCGTGGCCTACTGCGTGTCCTTCGTGGCCCTGCTGTCGTTCTCTCTCGCTCTCGCTTTCACTCGTCGTCGCCGTCGCCGTCGTCGTCGTCGTCGCCGTCGTCTTCGACGTCGTCGTCGTCGTCGTCGTCGTCGTCGTCGGTCGGTCCCCTGTCCGTCCCTCTTGGGGTCGGGTCGACGGTCCGCGGCCGCCCCGCCGATCAGCGCTGCCGCTGGCCAGGCCGACGGTCCGCGGCCGCACCGTCGCTTGCCAGGGCCCGGCCTGCAGGGAAGAAAGGTATACCCTCCAAAAGGGGTTCGGTCGAAGACGAAGAGGGCGGGTATCGAGGGTTTGGGACATACGCGTTATTGGACACTCGACCATATAAGGGCGAAGGGTCTAAAAGGTTTTGTTGTTGTTGATGTTGCTGCTGCTGCTGGTGTTGCTGGTGTTATTGTTGTTGCTGTTGTTGTTGTTGCTGCTGTTGTTGTTGTGGTTGGTGTTATTGTTGTTATTGGTGTTGTTGTTGTTGCTGTTGTTGTTGCTGTTGATGTTGCTGTAGCTGTTGTTGTTGTTGTTGTTGCTGTTGTTGTCAGTGTTGCTGTTGCGTTTGTTGTTGTAGTTGTTGTTGTTGTTGCTGCTGTTGTTGTTGTTGTTGTTGTTGTTGTTGTTGCCCTCTCTCGCTCTCACCTTCGCCTTCGTTCTCTTCCCCTCTCTGCCGCCCATTCGGGCTCAAGTTTTTCCCTCTGGGCCTCAGAGGCCCCTGTGCTGGCCCCGAGGGCGGCTGGTGCCACACAGCGCGCGCCAGCCATCGGCGCGGAGGCGGCACCCGCAGCTGCCAGGCGGCTCCTCCGTGCTGTGAGCCGGCAGAGCAGGCTGACTGGCATCAGGAGGGGAAAAAACACACAGACACAATTAATCGTCGATCCCCAGGAAAATATGCGAAAATATGGGAATTGGGGGGGAAGACAAAAACCCAGAAAATATAGGAACATATGGGGAATATTTCTATTTGTGTGTATTGATTTGTGTGTTCTGGGGCCCCTTTATGGCAGGCGGATCCAGAGATCCAAACTTCCGGGTCCGCCCGAGAAGCGCTGGTCGCCTGCGCGCGCGCAGAGGCGCCGGCGCCTGGCGCCGGGCTGGTCGAGAGCTTCACCAGCGCCGCGCGGGCTGTCGAGCTGGACGGGAAAGGGCCGCCGCGTGACGCTGACCACTGCCCTGGCAGCCTTGGCAGCCGCAGGGATCGTGCGGGGGCTCTCAAGGACTGAGGCCGCCACGCCCGCTGCCCCGCAGGCCTGGGACGAGGATGGGCCCTCCAGCCTCTGCGAGTGGGCGCGCGGCCCGGCCGGAGGCGCCGAAGAGGATGGGAGTGCCGCGGAGCTGCTGGCTCTTCCCTGGAGACGGGGCGGGGGGCTGGCTGCCGCGGAAGTCCCAGGGGAAGTGCACCCTGGCCCTGGACCGCCTGCAGCGGGAGAGGGCAAGGCGCCGCCCAGGCCTCCTCCAGAGAAGCCGTCGGGAGGTCAGGGCAGGGCGACGGCGCCAGCTGAGTGGGCGCCCCAGGCCGAGGAGGCGTCAAGCAGCGGAGGAGGGTGGTTCACGCGGCGACGCGAAGGAACCAGACCCGCGGGCTCTCGCCACCCTGCCCCGCCACCCGCGAGGGCCGAGGAGGAGAGCCGGTGGGGCTTCCAGCGCGTGCGATTCACCGCGATTGGCAGTTGAGTCGGAGGCTACCATGGAGAGTGGGACCCAGACGGGTGGCGACGGCTCTGGGCAGGAGGAGGAGGAGGAGGAGGAGGAGGAGGAGGAGGAGGAGGAGGAGAAGTGCTGCTCGGAGCAGCGTTAGCCACCATCGGGAGGGTGGCCTTCGGAGAGACTTGTTCTACGTGTCATGGGGTGGGCTTCTTGTGCCTATGGTGGGCCTGATCGTCGGTGTGGGCTATGAGCTGCAGGGGACGATCACCGCGTTGAACTACCTGATCGTGAAGCCTACCAGGACACTCTTGTCTCCCGCGCTGTGGGCGTTCGACCCGCGGGCGAAAGGGGGGAGAAAATACGCAGCACCCCGCAGATGCGGATAAGAGTGAGGGGGCGGTGGAGACGTCGGCAGTTTGCGAGACTCTGGAGAAGCCCGCCGCAGGCGCCAAAGTTTCACAACTTATACAACGAGCTCGCCGCAGGCGCCGATTTTTTCATTGAACCCACGTGGGTCGGTCGCGGGTGGGTCGCGGGTGGGTCGCGGGTGCAGAGGGCAGAAAACCCACCCCATAATAATCACCCTGACAAGCGAAAAGGTTTAGTGAACGCACACAAGACATGGATCGAACAGGGCAGGGCTGTTTAGTCAACGCCCCAGGCCGTTTTAGTAAAAGTCAATTGTCGGGTCCGGGTGGTTTTTCCTCCCTTGAGGGTGGGTCGCGGATGGGTCGCGGGGTGGGTCGCGGGTGGGTCGCGGATGGGTCGCGGATGGGTCGCGGGGTGGGTCGCGGGTGGGTCGCGGGATGGGTCGCGGATGGGTCGCGGGGTGGGTCGCGGGTGGGTCGCGGGGTGGGTCGCGGGTGGGTCGCGGGGTGGGTCGCAGGGTGGGTCGCTGGGTGGGTCGCGGGTGGGTGCGTGGGTTGGGTCGCGGGTGGGTCGCGGGTGGGACGACGACAACAAACAACAAAACAACAAAACAACAACAAGAACAACAAGAACAATAACAATAACAACAACAACAACAACAACAACAACAACCATTTTAAGGCTGTACGCTCTTACTTGCCCGCGAGTCATTCAACACGTATACCCTACACCCTCGGTACCCGCCCTCTTCGTCTTCGATCACACCCCTTTCGGGGGGATTATTTCTCTTTGCTGGGGCCGGCGGGCTTAGACGTACGGGCAAACCGGAACGGGCGGACAATCTTTCGGGGGCGTACATCTCTCTGCCCGCCATTGGAATTGGCGCGGGCCCTGCAAGAGGAGGAGGGGAAGAACGAGGGAGAGTGGGAGGAAGGGGAGGGGGAAGGACGAAGGAAGAGGGAAGATACCACGTTGTGAAGGCGTCCTTGGCGCGTGCGTGGTTCCTGAGCGCCGAAACGCAATTCCATAATAATTTGTGAGGACGTCGCACGCGAGAGCGCAGTCCTGAGTACATTGTGAGGAAATCTCAGGCGGAAGCGGGGGCCCTGACTAAGTTGCGAGGAAGTCTCAAGCGGGAGCGCCGTTCCTGAGCAAATTGCACGGAAGTCTCAGGCGGGAGCGGGGGTCCTCACTAAATTGCGAGGAAGTCTCAGGCGGGAGCGCCGTTCCTGAGTCAATTGCGCGGAAATGTCAAGCAGGAGCGGGGGTCCTGAGTAAAATTCGAAGAAGTCTCAGGCGGGAGCGCCGTTCCCACGTAAATTGCACGGAAGTCTCAGGCGGGAGCGGGGGTCTTGATTACATTGCGAGGAAGTCTCAGACGGGAGCGCCTTTCCTGAGTAAATTGCGCGGAAGTCTCAGGCGGGAGCGGGGGTCCTGAGTAAAAATCGAAGAAGTTTCAGGCGGGAGCCGTTGTTGTTGTAGCCCGGGGGGCAGGGGCACAGTTTGAGCAGGAAGACTTTCCTTGAAAAAAAAAACAAGGTGTGAGCCCCGGGGATGGCACTTCAATCGAAAAAAATCAATGTGCACCGGTGGGGGGGATCAACAATATTTGTTCTTCAAGAATGAGAATTCAAGAACAAGAGCAAGAACAACAACAACAACAGCAACAACAACAACAACAGCAGCAACAACAACAACACTACCAACAACAACAACAACAACAACAACAACAATCACAACCACAACCACAACAACAGCAACAACAACAATAATAATAACAACAACAACAATATCAACAACAACGACGACGACGACAACAACGCAACAAACAAAACTCTCACCACGAATTCCTGATTCAGCCACGCACCCAGGGACAATGAATGACCGTTTCGCCCCCTCACTTTGACTGCTGGAATTGCGCGGGCCAGGTCGACGGCGTCTTTTACGCCCAGTTGCTCGCGCGGGGCGCTGGTGGGAAGGCGCACCTCCTGGCCATCAAGGCCGGCGACACCGCAGCCCGCCTGGAGCGCCTGCCCTTCTGAGCACGGGGATGAAGCCACAGAGGTCAGGGCGCACGTGGCAGTATAGTACGGTCCTCAGCTCCACGTCGAGAAGGCCGAGGAGTTTGTTGGAGGAGCCACATGATAAGACGCCTCACCTGTGCCGCGAGGCCCCGTGTACCGAGGGATCTGCGCGGTGCACGTGCCGTCCTACGGCTACGTAGCCGGTGAACGCGATGCGAGCTGGTCCTTGAGCGTCGCCGGTTGGGCCGCGCGCCTGGAGGAGCCGTTCGATGAGTACGCGCCGCCGACGGAATACAACAGAGGCGCGACCCAAGCAACCCGCGGTCATGCTCAAGTGGGCCAAGCAGGCTGGTGACGGAGTCTATTTGGCGCGCTTGGTTTACGGCCAGGAGCGCTAGGGCGAGTGTCAAAGGCGCTCGATGCGCTGGTTTGCCATCGCGGGGAGGAGCCAGGGAAATGCACCAGGCGGCACGTGCAGGATACCTGGGAGGAGCTCAACTCCAGGTGGTGGGAGGCGCTCAGGTGCAGGGTCAAGGAGGTGCTTCGGGTCTGCAATGAGGACCAGCCCCGCAAGGACAGTTTCCTGTTTGCCGCCCTCGCCCCCACGGAGACAGGGGCTCCCTCCTCGATCTGCCAGACACCGAGCTGGACAACCCCGACGGGTACTGCCGGACGGTGATCCTCGCGGGGTTAGAGCGACAGGCCCAAACGGCGCCCGCGGGGCCCAGCTGCGACCGCCGGCTGCGGGCGGTGCCCTAGGAGGAGGAGGAGGAGGAGGAGGAGGAGGAGGAGGAGGAGGAGGAGGAGGAGGAGGAGGAGGACGAGGAGGAGGAGGACGAGGAGGAGGAGGAGGAGGAGGAGGAGGAGGAGGGAGGAGGAGGAGGAGGAGGAGGAGGCGGAAGAGGAGGCGGTGGAGGCGGCGGCGGAGGCACAGGGCCTGGCAGCCATGGAACGCGGGTGGCAAGAGGACCCGGGCAAGGGAGGTACGGGAGGAGGTGGAGGAGGAGGAGGAGGAGGAGGAGGAGGAGGTGCCGCAGGCGCAGAAGGCGCGGGAGTGTTGCCGCTCTAAGAAGCACCGAGGGTCCTGACCCAGCAGGAAATGGCGCTTTCCCTCGAACGTGGCACACGCGATTCGAAGTGCAAGCCTAAGTGCTGGGGCGCTTCGGGTCATGACGGCAGCCCCAGAACAGCCACAACTTGCGCGCGGTCGCATGCCGAGAGCATCAAGCAGGCCGACAAGCTGCGGTGGCGCCGACCACAGTGACGGCCATGACCACCGCGAGGGCGAGGACGACCAAACCGCCGACCATCACACCGACGACGACCATGACGTCGACGACGTCGACGATGATGACGACGGCTTTGACGACGGCGGCGCCGACCTCGACGACGACGGTGGCGAAGCCCCCCCGCAGCAGGCCGCGGCGAGCCGCGGGCCCGCCGCGCAGAGCGCGGGCAAGGGCCGCCCGCAGGCCGAGGCCGCGCCCTTCCTGCCGCCTCGCGGCTGCCCCTCGACGCCCCTCCCCGCCGCCCCTTCGGCGCCCGGCGCTCTATACTGCCCCGCCGCTCTCGAGCCGGACGAAAGCGGGGGATTGGGAAAGGGGGGGTTACGAAATTTGCTGCATGCAGCCGGTTTCGGCCCCACCGAGGGGCCCATTCCTCGATACGTAGCCGCCTCTGGCGCCGGGAGGCGCCGGGAAGCTCAGCTGCGTGAGCTGATTCTCACCCCCCCCCTTTGCTATCCCCCCCTTTCGCCCGCCCCGCCGCTCGGCCGCCCTGCTGCCGCCCCCCGCCTCGCCGCTGGGAGCCCCCCCCCCAGAGCCCGCCACTGTGTCACGCCATGGCGCGTTCGCCCGGCTCCTGGGCCCCGGGGCCCTCGCCCGTCGATCCGGGCCGAAGCATGCCGCAGGAGGATGCGGTCCTGGTGTCTGGGTAGTGATTTGGTGTCGATGTCGCACGGCTGCCTGGGCGCACGCAGGCGCCAGTGTGGACCCCGCAATAGGGGGGGAGAGGGACACGTCATCCGTTCCCCTTCTTCGGCGACGTGCAGCTATCCCCGTAGCTGCCACGCTAGCCTCGCCCTGTGTAGCCTCCAGGTCGCGACCCTCTCGAGCGAATGCCCTGTCCTGTCGCGCCAGCGTGCCCTTTTACTGGCGAGCCCCCGCGGCCAGCGCCGCATGACCGTCATTCGCGGTCCCATTGCCAGGGGACTGCGGGGTCAAGGCAGGTGCACGGGGGTGTCGGGCAGGGTCTGGCCGGACGAGAGAGGGGGATTGGGAAAGGAGAGGCAAATCTGTTGCAAGCAGCTGGTTTCGGCCACGCCGCCAGGCCCTTCCCTCGATACATGGCGCCGGGAAGGCAGCTGATTCCCGAACCTCTCTTTGCTACGAATGCACCCCGCTTCTGGGAACCGGCGACGCTGGCAGAAGCGAGGGTGGATCATAATCTGGGCTGACCAGAGGCTGACAGGTTATCGGTGGAGCGATCACAGCGTACCTCGGATTTTACTGTTCCCCCATTCTAAGGGGCAATGTCAGGGGGATAGGCTCAGGCGGGGATGCATCGACACCCAATCGCCCATCGATCGCCGATAGGGGCCCGAGAGCCCTCCTCCCCCAGGACCGTGCGGTGTTGCCCATCGAGGGCCTATCGCCGATCTATCTGCGATGTATCTTCGATCCAGGCTCGATGTTTCCCCCCCTGAGCCGGTACCCCTGACCTTCGGGGAGTGGCAAGTTCTTGCTTGGGGCGCAGACGACTGGCGAAGACTGATGTCCGATGTCCTCCTTGCGCGGTGAAGTCACGCTTCAACTCCTGAGAGTTTCACAGAGGGTCTTGCCCCTCGCGGGCCACCTTGACAAGACTCCACTCCCCCGCTTACAGCCGGACCGAGATATAAGATCGAGATCGGTCCGGGGAGGGTACCCTAATGTTCGGCGTGTTTTTTTTGTTGGATGTTCTTGTGAATCCTGGGGAGGGCCCCCTCGGCTGTTCTGTGTGTTTTGGCCGCCGGAGGGTCGCGTGTGCTTGGAGGGTGTTCTCCTGCCCGAGGTCCGACTGTACTTGGACCCTCAGACAGCCCCTGCCCCATCGCCGGCGGAGGGTCGCATGTGCTTGGGGGGTGTTCTCCTGTCCTAGGTCCGACTGCACGCTGAACCTCACACAGCCCCCACCCCCTCCCCCGAGGCAGCTCCCGCCGGATCGGCTGGCTCACCCCAGGAGGCTCGAGGAGGGGGCGGGCCGGCCCCCACCGCTGCGACAACCGGGCGGGGCCCCGAAGAAAGGGCGGCCCGGCGCGTCGCCCAGGGGAGGTCGGGAGCCTGGCATGTGCAGTGGTCACGTTTGTTGACGCGCTTTCATCTGTAGCTAGTGGTGGGCTTGCTTTCCTCCACCACCACCATAAGTAGGAGGGGGAGGGGGTCCTCCTCCTCCTCCTCCTCCTCCTCCTCCTCCTCCTCCTCCTCCTCCTCCTCCTCCCTTTCATCCTCATCCTCATCCTCATCCTCCACCTCCTTCCCCCCTCCAACTTATGGTGATGGTGGTGGGGGAAAACAGGCCCATCAGCTATCAGCTAGCATCGAATCCGTACCCTCACAGAAGGCCCGCTTCAAACTTCAAGAATCTCCTGCCCGCGGTGCTGGGTGACCTGTCTGGGCGCACACTCTGTCTCGTGCGTGTCTGGCAGGTCTCGCAGCAGATGGGCAAAGGGATGCAGGGTTGCCTCTGTTGCCCTTGGTCGTCGCTTGCAGCATGTGGAACTCTGATGCTGCCGGGAAGCTCATGTGTGGGGGCACGGGCTCAACGCTGGCTACCAGTGTATGGCAGACGTGGTCGGGAGCTGTGGCTTAGCGTGTTTCGCCGCCGGTTCTGGCCCACCTCGCATCGGCGCGACACTCTGACCACGTCCCGGTCCCCAGTTGTCAACGCCCCGAGCTTTTTGGCAGCCCCCCGCACCGCAGAGAGGAGCGGCATGCTCTCAGCCTGCAGGGCACAGCGCGTCGTCGGGGCCGCCACCGCGACACGCTGAGCAGAAGCGAAGAGCGCGAGTCCTATCCGACGCCAGTCGCCAACCGAATGGTGCACCCGTCCCCCCCAAACCTCCTTCTCGGGGGCGGCAAAGAGGGGGGTGATGACTAGGGGGGGGTGGATATCATGGCGTGGGCCATGATATTTCCCCAGATTTCATGGCGCCTCTTCTTATTTCATTACGTTCCTGCCCCCCCCGCTGGGCCGCGCACATGCCGCCGGTCATGATTTGCACCCCCCCCTCTTGGACCCCCCCCTCTTGACCGCTCCCGACCTTCTCACCCAAAGGGTGGTCTTGCAGGTGCGTTAAAAACTATGCGGCGAATTCAAACCAAGGGTGTTGTGCCCCGAGCAGTGCTTGCACTTGGGGTTTGTCGACTATTTCTTTCCTACGGAACTGGGCCTGCCCGTCGGTCCAGCGGCTATGTGGTCGCTGTCGCCGCCCCGTCGACGCCTCGTCGCCGCCCGTCGCTTGCCCGTCGGTCTGGCGGCTATGTGGTCGCCGTCGCCGCCCCGTCGCCCCTCCCGAAAAATCCACTTATGTGTGGTTGTGGTTCTTTGTTGTGACCGGATCCTTTGCGACAGTCGCGAGCTGGTGATCCTCTCAATTGGCCGCCTCAAGTGGGTGGGGGTAGCGGACGGGGCACAAGAGTGCTCGCCACCCCCGAGCTCCCAGAGGGGGGAAATTCTTGCGACTCGGGAAGGAACCAACGTTACCTGGACCTCTCCCAGCCGAGAAATCCGACGCTCCGGAAAAATAAGAGCGGGCGGTTTGGGGCTGTTTTCGGCCTCCAGGGGCCCTCGCCAGGCCTCGGGAGCATCAAAAAGCGATGTTTTCCAACGCAGCGAAGCTGATCCACCAAGTACCGATTTGCATCGGTCGCGTTACACTACTCGCAAAGTGCCTACTCGCAAACATAAGAACACGTCTTCCTCTGTAGAATGGAGCGTAGATCCCCCGCGGCGGATGTTGCCCATTTGCGAGTTGCTACTTTGTAAGTAGTGGAACGCGCTTGTGGAGTTTTTGAAAACCGAAATTGGGTGAAACAGGACTGCTTCTCTGCAAGACCGCCGCGCACTAGTGAGCAGGGACAGGAGGAGAAAGAGGAGGAGGAGGAGACGACGACTGGGGGGCGGCCGATCCGGGCAGCAGCCTTGTGGCAGGCTCACGAGACGGACAGTTCGTCCAGAGGGCACGTCGGTTCCAAGGGAGTGGTAGGTAAGTCAGAGACGCATGCAAGTGTGATAAAACATTGTGATGAAACAACGGTGAACAAGTGTGACAACAACTGTGCTAAAAAGCAAACAAGTGTGATCACAGTTGTTTTCATCACACTTGTGTCTTATCGCACTTGTTTTGATCACAGTTGTCCGTATATGCTACTGGTCGTTGTACTGCCATGCCCAATATCCACAACCACCTGTGTACCAATCCGAGAGAAGTGCCTCGCCGGATAGCCCCGGGTAGCGCTCCACACCGCTCGCGTGCCATATTGGGGACAAGGGAGACACATTGTCGACTCCACCTCCCATAAATTTCTATCCCCAAGCGTTGTGAAGCACCAAACCCTGTGGATACCACGTCGGCGTGTGTTGTGTTGTTGTCTTGTTTCAGCTCGTTCTAGCAATCGTCCTCCCTTGTTGCTAGTCCCTGGTCTTTGCTCAGAAATGCAGCGAATCAGGGAACTTACCGTTACGTCGTAAAACAGGGATAAGTTTCGTCCCACGTTCAGACTCTGTATTATTCAGTCTAGTCGTCGTTGGTCATGTGCAGGCATTGGTACATTTGTCTGGACCTACATGCGCTCGACATTCCTATCTGGTATCAACCCGCCAGCTTCGATGAATACGTGTCTCCACGCCACAACTAGAGCCGGGTGTCGAGCATTGAGTCTGCCATTCTGGTTCGTGGTCAATGTTGAATGTCCATGTGGATTGGTTCCCTCGAGTGATACGCCGATTCCCAAACGGCGGCGGATAGCATACGAGTCTTGGTTGTTAGACAAACCCAGCGTCCTCGTAGTTCAAACCGTCAGCCGTTTTGCTGTGCATGGTTTCATGCTTGAACATATCCTTGCTGTAACCATGGTTGCCGCATTCGTCCGGGCCGTTCGTCTTACTCCCAATTCCCGCAGCAAGCACTATTATCGAAAGTATTCGTTTCAACGGGTTCGGCGCATAGAACTGACATTTGTGTGTCCATTCTCCCAGAGCCAGTGATTGATTTGGTAGTGCTGGAGGCCGTTCTCCTGTTGGCAATTGTGCCCAGGACGCACTGCTTGCCAATCAAGTATGATCGCAAGTTCTTCTTGTACGCTCCGCTTGAACCAAGCAGTCTGGGCAACCCCTGTTATTGGTGATGTCTCCACCGGCCGTTGCATTGAAATTGCGAACAATGTCGTGACCAATAGTGGGAAAGTCGCGAACAAGATTACGTAGAGAATCCGCCCAACTTGCCCAGTATGCTGCTGGGGCGAGCTGGCTAGAGTTTCGCAATCCAAGACCAGCATAACGCACAGAAAGTTGTGTTTGAGTCTCCAGGTATTATAGGGTATCCCATGTAATCTATCGTCCCACGAATCTTGTCCATGGATTCCGAAAACATCTCGGAATAAGCGTAGGACATTCGTGTCAGGATGGTCGCTGCAAGGGCCCTAAGGAAGTGGTCTGGACCTCCAGGGCCCACGCATCGAATTAATTGGAGCAGCCGGATGTCTGGGGCGACTTGGGAGGAAACCAAAACTACCTGGACCTCTCCAAGGGCGCATTCTGACAGGGATTTCGAAGCGAACCCAGCCGCGGCTGCGAGGAGCTCACAGGAGGCGCCACAGGGGCAAAAGCGGGTCAAAGGGCAGCCACATCGGTACCTCTTCTTCCTCCTATGCCTACGAGTTCGCACGTCTTCCCCCCCCCTCCCTTCCCCCATCTCGCCGAGCCAGCGCTCGGCCTTCTCGGGGTCGCCGCCGCGCGCGTGCGCCTCCACTGCGGCGGAGAGGCTTGCGCCGGTGGCCGGGTGACGCGCCTCGGGGCGGGGCGGCCGGCGGGGGGAGGGGGGCGTCCCCCAGGCGTGCGGCCGAGATTATGGTGATGATGATGATGATGATGATGATGATGATGATGATGATGATGATGATGATGATGATGATGATGATTACGATGATGATGATGAGGAAGAGGAGGCGGAGGAGGAGGAGGATAACGATGAGGATGAATATGAGGACGCGGATGGCGTTGTTGATCGGGGCCTGCCCGTCGGTATGGCGGCTATGTGGTCGCCGTCACCGCCCCGTCGCCTTCTGCGCCTGCAATAAGATTGCATTGCTTTGCGTCAATTTCCACTGAATCCCATTGATTTGCATGACTTTCTCTGCGTTGTTTCGCACTGCTTTACATTGATTTGGCGTTGCCTTGCTGTGCATTGCGTTGTGTGGTGCTGATTTGCAGTGCTTGACATTGCTTGGCATGTGGCTTTACACTGGTCCCTATCGCTCTGCATTGCTTGGCATCACTGGGCATTGCTTTGTATTGCTCTGCATTGATTCTCCTTCCTGCAAGGAGCTCTACCCCCCTGCCCCCCCTCCCGTGTGCATCGCCCCCCCTGGGACAATGCAATTTACATATAAGTTTGCTTCGTCTCTCACTTTGCCTGTAAATGCATACCATTCCAGGGAGTCCCCTTATCGCCCCTCCCTCACCCCTGTCAAATAATACTATGCGCGCACGTCGTCCGTCAACAAACATAATTCTCAAGACCCCCTTGTCATGCCTAAATCCTCCCAAAGCCTTCATCAGCGACACGTGGACATCATCTTTATCGGGGTGACCAGCATTGGTGGGGTGATTGCGCGAGCAAACAATCGAGTTGACACTTCCAAATTCTTCCAGCTTGCGTTGCACCACGTAGATGGCACCACATGGGTTGCACCATTTGATTTGCACCACATTGGTTGCACCACCTGGATTGCGCCGCGTAGCCCGCAAGACATCGCTGTTTCGGGTCCACACTGGCTAAGATTTAATGATGGGTGTGGGAACGAAGTGAGGACGACGATGTAACGGCATAGCTATGTTAATGCTACGAGAGTTGTTGTTCCCCGACTCACGATGCGGCGCGGGATTGTCCAGTAGTTGTCTTATGGGGTATCCGTCCCGTGGGTTGTCCCGTGGTTGTTCTATGGTTGTCCTTTGGGGTGTTCCGTGGGTTGTCCCGTGGTAGTCACGCGGTTGTCGCCCATTTAATGGCTCGGGGTTGTCGTGATTGCTGTCGCGCAGGAACTGTGACTCCAATTCCAAACGATATGTTCGCAAACGCGCCTCCCCAATCAGTAAGTTGTTGTGGTGCAAACTAAGTGTTTGTTGTAAGTTATGTGGTGCAGTATACGTGGTGCAAGCTAGAGGCGGCCACGAGGCGGGCGGCAACGTGGCGAATCCACGCTGGACCCGCCCAGCGCACGTAGCGGCCACGAGGCGGCCACGAGCGGCAACGTGGCGAAACCTCGCTGGACCCGCCCAGGGCACTTAGCGGCCACGGACGGCAACGTGACGGTTCTTCGCTAGACCTCGGCGCACGGAGCGGCCTCGGACGGCAACGCCCACGAGTCGACCACCAGCGGCAACGTGGCGAAACCTCACCGGACCCACCGAGTTCACGAGGGGGCCACGTGGCGGCCACGCACGGCAATGTGACGAAATCTCGCCAGACCCATCCAGCGCGCGAGACGGCCACGGGTGGCGAAAACTCGCCAGACGCATCCAGCACACGAGGCGGCCAGGAGGGGCCACGGGCGGCAACGTGTTGAAACCTCGTTCGGCCCGCCAGGCGCACGAGACGGCCACGGGCGGCAACGGGGCCGGACCCGCCCAGCGCACGTAGCGGCCACGAGGCGGCCACGGACGGCAACGTGGCGGAACCTCGTCGGACCTGCCCGGCGCCTTTCGCGGCCACGCGGGGCCACGGGCGGCAACGTGGCGAAACCTCGCTGGACCCAGCCGTGCACGGGGCGGCCACGAGGCGGCCACGGGCGGCAACGTGGTGAGATCTCTCCAGGCTCGCCGCGCACACGAGGCGGCCACGGGGCGGCCACAGGCGGCACGCAGCGAGACCTCGCCGGGCCCGGTCGGGCACGAAGCGGTCATTGGTGGCAACGTGGCGAAAAAATCTCGCCGGACCCACCCAGCGCACGAGGCGGCCACGAGGCGGCCACGGTTGGCAACGAGCAAGACTGTCGTCAGACCCTACCAGTTCCGCAGGGAGAGAAGTGCGAACCCCTCAGTGCAAGCACGGCTTCGGGAACGAGTTTGGAAATCAACTGTAACTCGACATGCAACCAATAGCCAAGTCGAGTTGTGCATTGAATGCCATAGAAATGCACATCGAAGTAAAGACACACTTGCAATCGGAATGCAAATCGATCTGCAAGCTTGCTACCCGCCCACCCACCCAAATCTCCGCTTTCGCCGAGCAGAGCTAAACGAGGTGTTTTAGAATTGAACGTGAGGGTAAGTCGCCGATAGAGCAGTAAAGAAGTGCAGCAAAATTGACAGGCACCGTCGCCGCCCCCGCCGACGGTCGTCTATTTCCTCAAGCAGAGCGGCGTCTGCGAGAAGCACGTCGAGACGGAGAGCGAGTGCGAGGAGGGCCGCTATGGGAGGGCAACGTATTGGACACATTCACATAATTTGTGTACGCACTCGCACTTGTCAGCCGCATCGCGCTTGAGGATGTAAGGCGGGTGCGCCGAAGACAAACAGAAGAAACCGCGGGATAACAGGGTGACAACAAGGCTTGCTCATCGCGGCCTTTCCAACATGTTTTCAGTTGTGAAGTTGGCGCGTTGTGCGGGTCCGCTCCAGTGAGTGTTATCAGGAGCGTGCGTATATATTATTCGAGAGTGCCGGGGCCAGAATCTGCTATTGACTGGGTTGCGAGAAGCGTTTGTGCTCGCAATCGAAATGGGAAGGACGTGCTAGTCTCCAGGAGTGGTGCGCTGCTGCACCCCGTGCATGTATACGGTCGGATGTTGACACCGCGTGGCCAATGGACTCTCGACTAGTTCTACATCGTTGCGGTCGGCTGTATTTGCTGCTGCATTCACCAGCAGCAGCGAATGCAATCAGTCAACTAGTTCCAAATCGTCAGCAGCTGCATTCGCTGCTGCTGACGTCACCACAGATTTCCCTTGTTGCTGCTGTTGCTCTCGTTGCTGGTCCGTTTACTGCTTTTATCCGGAGTTGACCCAATGGTGTTTTCTCCGATTCGTCCTCCGCCCACGGTTGTCTTCTTAGCTGCGCCCTTCTGGCGATTGCATTGTCTTGCTGTAGGCACGTCACATGGGAAATCAGCCTGTCAGAAGGTGTCCCACGGAAGCTCCTTATCCCCCACAGGCCCCAGGGACCCGTAAAAGTCATGAGGCATCGTGGAGAGGTCGAGCAAGGACCCACAAAAGTCTTGAGGCATTTTGCACAACAGTATAGTGTCGTACGCACTTGATTTAGCAAAGACCGTTGATGCCGTTCCTGGCCCTTCCTGCTGGTTTCGGAATTCATGCTCCGATCAGGAGGCGGCAGAGTCGCTCAGCGAGGTCCGGGCGAGCCGCATCGAGTTCTCGTTCTCCAGGGTGGACCGTCCAGTTGGCTGCTACTGGTATAAGCACTCGGACACCCTGAACTGGAACACGAACATCGCAGGCGCGGGGCGCAGCGGGGCCACCTGGAAGCGGCCATGTTTGAGGCACCCCCGAGTGGAGTCACAGATCCGCGGCGCTACCTTCAAGAGAGCCCAGACCCAATGATAGGCAGGGACAGACATCTAGTTTGGCTAATCGCAGGTCTTGGGTGGAGCATGAATAACCTAAGCGGGTGTGTCCTCCACAACGAGCCCGTTGAAGAAGTTCGCGATTTGGCGTAAGCTAGGCGCTAGTTCTATCGCTTTGCCACAGCCACGCGATGATCGACAATATTGTTGACAGAAAGCTTGTGGTAATGCTTTCGAACACCTTTGAGCAGGATCATGGGGAGGTGGATGACAGGAGGAGGATGTCCAGGAGGAGGGGCAGGAGGAGGTGGGTCTGCCAGCGAGAGGAGTAGGAGGAGGAGGAGGAGGAGGAGGAGGAGGAGGAGAGGAGGAGGAGGTCCAGTAGGAGGAGGATGAGTCTGTTGTGTGAGTATGGGCTGCGTCTGGGCCTGGCTCCAGCTTGTATCAAAAAAGGCATTTACAGATGCGCCTCTCAGATGCCGCTCATCGGAGTCCTCGGGTTTTTGGCCTCTTGGATGTCAGCCTCGCAGACTTAGCTTCTTCTCATGCTCTGCGTTCCTCCCCATGATCATTCCCATTAGCACTCTCTACTTTCATTCTCTACTTTCATTATCTACTTTCACTCTCTACTTTCATTCTCTAGTTTCATTATCTACTTTCATTTTCTACTTTAATTCCCATTATTACGTCCATCATTCCCCATTATCATTCTCTACTTTCAGTATTTGCCTCGGCCCACTTTCCCTCTATCTCCATCCTCCCCCTCGTATGCGTACAGTAGTGGCCTTCGGCCAGATGTGGCCTATCCCACCAAAGCGCAAGGCTCGCAACACAGATGCATACGGTGGGGGCGTTCCTTTAGGAATGCACTCAGGAGGCTTCAGACACTTGAGAGTTCCTTATCTGATGAGGGTGGCTGTGATTTCCATGGTCAAGCCTCAGTTGGTGTTCCACCAGTTTTCAGAACCTTCATTCCTTATCCATGAGTTCCACCTCAGGCATCCCCACAGGCAGGGTGGACATGAGTAAGATGGGGAAGAGGCGGATGCAGAAAATGAAGAGGAGCACATTGAGCGCTTCAAGACCATGGCATGGAGGCAACAGATGCGGAGGGTGAGGATCCAGAATGGGGAGGAGCCGTTGGGAGGATGCGCGGGGGAAAAGATGCGGGAGGAGGAGGGAGGGAGAAGGAGGAGGAGGAGAAGGAGGAGGAGGAGGAGGGGCAGGAGCAGGAGGAGGAGCAGGAGGAGGACAGGAGGAGGAGGAGGAGGGACAGGACATGGGCAACCAGAGACGCTGGAGGAGCCTGGGGGAGAAGGATGGGGATAGACTGTGAAGAGGGCGTCGGTGTGCCGCGCACTTCGGGGTTGCGCTCAGGCGTCGACTGCAACAAGCAGCGCCAGTGCATCTGCAAAGAGGACGGAGGGGTGATCTTCAAGCTGCCGACGGGACGGAAGAGTAGGATGATGAGGAGAGGGAGGATGAGGAGGACGACGAGGAGGGAATACGAGGAGGAGGAGGAGGAGGAGGAGGAGGAGGAGGAGAAAGAGGAGGCGGTGGATTTTTTGTGTTTCCCCGGAAGGCTAAGATTTCATCGCTCCGTCGTGAAAACCGTTCGCCCCCTCCTCCTCCTCGCAGCGCGGCCGCCCGACGGCGGAGATGCCCCGAGAGCCCAGGGGCGCCGGGGGGCCCCCCGCGGGCCCTCCGTATCCCGGGCGCCCTCCGCAGCTGGACAACCGCGCGCGATGGCGAGGCCGCGGAGAGCGGTCCGCGGCCTCTCCTCCCGCCCAAACCTCACCTCCTTCGGGTATGGCCAGGACCCCCCGGGTACGGTAGGTTTGCGTCGTGTCGACCAGCGGCGACCCCCGCCAGCGGCGTTCAAGGTTGAACGCCGCCGGCGGCCCAGAATCGATCGGTGTTGAACGATCGGACGTTGCGGCAGCGGCCGATCGTTCAAGGTTGAACGATCCCTGCGGTGTCAAAAACCAACGCTGGGGTCGGCACGACACGAACCTGCCGTAAGGGGACCCGGTCAGTGGTAGGGCCCTGCAGGGCCCCTCCATTGGCCAGATTCACTGAACCAGGTCTGTCGTAACTGGTGTTTTTCGGGTGGCGGCAGTTCCGGGTTTAGCGGAACGGGGCGGGGGGGGGGGGGGCGCCCCCCGGTACACACATCCCTAAACCAGGTTCCACTGAACCCAGTTCTGCCAACGCCCGATTCACACGTGGAGCGCCACGCCCCGAGCGCGGTTCGACCGCGGCTGCACACCGCGAGACATGCGGCCGGGGCGGCAGCGAGGGGCCGGGAGACGGGGGCGCGGCCTCGGCACGGCCTCGCAGGCAGCCCACGGCGGCGGTGTGCGCCGTGCGCTCCGCGGCGGCGGCGGGGCACGCGAGAGGGGGCCATGGGCAGGCGCGCGGAGTCTCCGGGGCAGGTTCCTTCCCTTCGGCATCAATGTGAGAGCTTACCACTGGCCCGACGACGTCCAGTGCACCCTGGAGTGCCCGAGCCTGGCAGCACACATATGCACGACGCGAGTGTGGCTCGTAGCCCTGGGGCGCCTGGCACAGCGGTCCACCATTGCCATCGCGCTTCTCCTACGTCTCTCGGCTTCGGGACCCTGGGCTTTTCAGTAAACTGGGAGAAGGGGAGGAGCGGTGAAACAGCCCCCTTCACCCGCGCAAAGACCCGCGTTTTCCCGAGCACAGCGTCCAGATCTGCCAGGTCCGACGGGTTCCCAGGATCATGCATGGACAAGGCTTTCTTAACATGTTGATCCGCCAGGAAGTTTACCCCAGTAATGCGACATTCTTCACACGGGAGCTCATCAATGACCTCAACATTTCGGTACGCTTTAGCATGGTGGGCCTCGCATGCACACTGGGCGCCTTCGCACTGCAGGGCGCCTCTGCCCAAGCCGCCATACTTTGATTTGCTGCGCAGCTGCTGGCCATGGGTCCCGTTGTGAAGACGCCCCGAGACCGTCTGAATGAACTTGCCCGTCTAGTTTGACAAGGAAGGCCAGCGTGCATGCTGCGATCTGCTTCGTGGCTTGTGGACTTACGTGGGAGACTTGGCCAGACTGGCCCTCGAAGTCTCGCCACAACATCCTCGGACCCTGACCTCAGAACAATCCATCCGTAGACGGCCCTCGACAGCCCTGCAGAGACGGAGGAGGAGAGGAGGGCTGAGGAGGAGGAGGAGGAAGAGGATAAGGAGGAGGAGGAGGAGGAGGAGGAGGAGGGAGCGGGGGAGGAGGCGGGAACTGCAGGCACTCCAGAAGGTGTGGAGGAGGAGGAGGAGGAGGAGGAGGAGGAGGAGGAGGAGGAGGAGGAGGAGGAGGAGGAGGAGGAGGAGGAGGGCAGGACGAGGAGGAGGACGAGGAGCATCAGGAGCAGGCGGCTGCAAGCAGGCCCACCAGGAGGAGCAGCAGGGAACAACAGAGGGAGCAGGAGCAGCAGCAGCAGCAGCAGGAACAACGTCTGCGCATCCAGTGAGCGGAGTGACTGGTAGAGAGCCGGGTCGGGGTCGGCCTCGTTTGGCAGCGGAACAGCGACAAGCAACAGTACAGCTAAGGCGTTCCAGAAAGGCCTCGCCTCCGAGGATCGACGGAGCTTGCACCTCTTCCTCGGCGGAAGGCGGCGGAAGGTCGGCGGAAGCCGGCGGAAGTGAAACGAGGGCGGCTCCGCCAGCAGAAGCCGGCGAAAGGCCCGCGGGAATTGGCGGAAGTGAAAGATGCGCCCTTAAGGGATGGCAACGTCTTTGGGCTCAGGGTTTCCCGAATCGGCCAGCTGGCACGCGGGATAAAAAGCATCCTACGGTAGAGGGAAACAAGTAGTGGATGCTTCCCCGCTCCCCCACACGCTGAAGCTGAAACAGTGGGTGGACGCTCCCCCGCCTCCCCCAAATTCAACCGGGCACGCGGTCGAAGTGCAGCTCAATCAACCCACCGCCAGCACTGATCATCGGGGGGGCATTGACAGAGGAATGCGGCACGAGTGTTCGCCAACTTCCTCCGAGGCATGTAGCCGAGCAGAGAGTGCCCGCGTGGTCTCCCACACCGAGGCCCTCCACCTCTGGACTGGCCTTCGCCTCGGGGGGCACCTCCACATGGGACCTTAGGTCCTTCGGCGAGGAGGCTCACGTGTTAGACCCGCGTTCTCGTGGCCACATTTCGACTGCACCCCTGCCACCCTTCCGCGCCGGTCGTCGGCGAGAGTGCTTGTTTACACGTAGATTATGGTGAGGTTGCCTGCGTCGAGCGGGGGCCCGGCGAGCCTCTGCGGGAAAGTGGGAGATTACGCAGTCCGAGAGTTGCTTGCACGCTTTCCTGGCCCAGCTCCGGATGCAACGGCCACGAGGGGTGGGGGCAAGTCGCCATGCGGGTGAATCTGCCGCTGCCGCCGGTTCTGGCCCACAACGCTTCGCCGCGACGACACGCTGTCCATGTCGTAGATGGGGTCCGAGTAGATAGGGTCGAAGGATCGCTCCGCATCGCCGATGCATCGGGGATGCGACTCGATGTGAAGCCCGAGTTTCTCCACGCCGACGTCGCCGACGCATCGCCGATGCGTCGCCGATCCATCGTCGATGCATCGCCGATGCACCGGCGGTGCATCGGCGATTGGGTGCAGTCCTCCGGCCCCATCTGCTCGGACCCCATCCAGGAGGCCTCTCTCTCTCTACATATATATATATATGTCATTATACATATAGGAGGCCTCTCTCTCTATACATAGCAGACCCCATCTAGGAGGCCTCTCTATACCCCATCTAGGAGGCCTCTCTCTCTATACATATATATATATATATATCTATATATATATATATATCATTCCCACTCGTCAACGTCCCGCGCTTTTCCCAGCCTCCCGCCCCGCGGAGCGGGGCGCCACGCTCCCCGCTCGCAGGGCCGCCGCGGCACGCCGGGCGAGAGCCTCCCGACGGCAGCAGCAGGGCGGCCCCCCGAGAGAGAGAAGCCGCAGTTCTCGCGCCGCGTGCCGCGCGGCCCGCGGGCGGCCGCCCGCGGGCCGAGCGCTGCACCTTTTGGGCGCCCGAAGTGGGTACGGGAAGAAGGGGTACGATGCCCAGCAGCAGTTCCTGGTCATTCTGAACAGGACTCGCTGGCGGTGTCGCCGCGGCCTGTGTCCATTCGAGACAGAAGGCCGCCTGCCCGACAGCGGCCGCTGCTGGTCTGGGACAACATGTGTTGTGGGGCATTGTACCCCTTCTTTCCGTACCCATTTCGGGCGTCCAGATACACGGAGCTTGGGCGGGGAGGCCGGTGGGCCGTCTGCGAGGGCGGAGTCGGTGCCCTCGCCCCCGCCCCTCCTCTCCCTCGAGCACGGGGGGGGCGGGGGTCCCCTCCTTGCTTCCTTGCCTGCTTGCCGCCTTGACTCCTCGCCTCCTTTTCCTCCTCCTCCTCCTCCTCCTCCTCCTCCTCATCATCATCATCATCATCAACAACATCATCACCACCATCAATCAACATCATCACCATCAATCATCATCACCATCATCATCACCATCAATAATCACCCTCATCCCTCATCATCATCAGCATCATCATCACCATCAACCATCATCATCAATCATCATCACCACCATCATCATCATCATCATCATCATCATCATCATCATCATCATCATCATCACCATCACCATCACCACCAATCATCATCATCATTATCACAAACATCATAAACATCACCATCAACATCATCATCAGCATCATCATCATCATCATCCTCATCCTCATCCTTCTCATCCTCCTCCTCATCATCATCATCATATCCTTCTCCTCCTCCTCCTCCTTCTCCTCCTTTCTTGGGTAAGCCGCTTGTCGCACACACCCGTGGCGTCGGTCGTCCTCCTCCTTGCCTCCTCCCCGCCTCTCCTCCTCCTCCTTGCCTCCTCCTCCTCCTCCTTGCCTTCTGCTCCTCCTCCTCCTCCTCCTCCTCCTCCTTGTCCCCTCCTCCTCCTCCTCCTCCTCCTCCTCCTCCTCCTCCTCCTTGCCTCCTGCTCGCCTCCGTCTTGCATCCTGCTCCTCCTCCTCGCGATGTGCACTCGGCGCGTCAAATAAGAGAGGCAGGCCTGCCAGCAGGTTCCCCGACGGCCCGGGGGGGGCCCTCAGAAACATTGGTGCATGTCAGGGAGCTCAGGCATCGTCGACAAACGTGCCCCTCCAGGGCTTCGATCCGATCGATCTGATTCGTTGTCCACTTTGGCCGTCTCGATACGATTCGATTCCGACATGCCGACGATGCGATGCGGGCCGATGTTTGCGTGGCAGCCGATCCTAAGCGGTTTCGGTTCCGTGCCGATGGGGCCGATCCGACGCGCATTCCGATTCGATCCGATTTCCGATTCGATCCGATTTCCCGATCCGATGCCGGCTGGTTCCGCTATCGATGTCGCAGAGCGGGGCTCATCCACGTGCGTGGCTGCTGTGGCCACGGATGGCCAGGCACTCCCCCGACACTTCCCTTGCAGGCTCGACAAGACTCCCCGTTGCCAGGGGCAGTGGAGGAAGGAACGCAGCAGGGGGAGGGGGGGGGGCGAGCAACCGAAGCAGCAGCCGCAACGGCAAGCGGTGCGGCGTGCGGCGCGGCCGCCCTCCGCGAGGCACCCCGCCTCTGCGAGGCGCTCGCGCACGGGCCCGGCGGCAGCCCCGCCATGGGAGCCCGCGCGCGTCGGGGCTACACATCGCGGTGGCGGGCCTCGGCCCGTGGAGCCGTCGCCGCATGGCGGAGGCGACATCCAACGGCCTCCCACAGTCGGGCGATCGCAAGCACCGGGTCCAAAAGGGGGCGTGGTATTTTCGCGACGGGTCCCGCTTCCGCGGGGAGATCGCGGACTTCCGCCGCCGAGCGGGGCGGCACCGGCCGCACTCCGGGGAGGGCGCCTCGCCCGAGCCCTGGAACTGGCCACCGCGCGCCAGATCCATGGATCGCTGACCCGCGCCTGCGCGCCTCCAGTGCAGGAAGCGTTCCAAGAGAGGTCTGGGCCTCGGCGCCCCCTCGCCCTCGGCGGAGAGGGCCTGCGGAGGCAGGGCGGCGGCGGGGTCCGCCAGCGGAGGGCGGCGGAGGTAGTACGTGCGCAGTCCACACGCTCGGGCCCTCGGAGACCAGCATCAGATCGGGCACGTCCCTCTACAGGAAAATTCACAAGTCAAGCAACAGTCTGGGGACGATGTTTCGATTATGGTTTGCCATGTTTGGGGTATCTGTTAGACTATTTTTTGTTTTCCGTCCAAAATCCGCCTGTGGGGGGACATGCCCGACCTAAGGCTAGCAATCTGCATGATCATAAACTTTCGGCGCTCCGCGCGGATGTCTTGGATCTGCACCTGACGCCCCCCTGGCGGCGCCTCCAGCGCCGCTCCTGGCGCGCTCCGCTCGCCAGGGAGGGGGGTCCAGCCCAGATCCCAGAAATCCGCGCGGACCCCCAACAAGTTTTGTTTATGCAGTGTTTTCTTCCTCTCAGCTCGGGGTTTCTGGAGTCGGCCACATGTTCGGTTTCTGGAGCCAGCCACATATTCCCCTTGATTTGGGAAAGTTGCGCAGGCGGGGGGCATCCGTCGGGAAGACCATCCGCCCCGAGTGTGATCATGCTGGTATTGACTGCGTGGTAAGGCCCGAAAGTCCGACGGCACAAGTTGAGCAATCGCCTCATCTTCCTCAAGTGCGGATCGAATCTCGATCTTCGTGGTTCTCGTCCTCTCCTGCATCCTCCTCCTTCAATCTGAAGTTGAAGGCAGAGAGCCGACCGCGAACCCACTCAACACAGAGTCGACAATAGGCACAAGCAGCCGCTCAGAGAGTCTCGAGCGGGCGCGCAGCTGTGAGCGCGTTGGGTCGCGCTGGCCACAGGACCAGCGAATGTAACTCAGAGACGGTCTTGTCTCGGCGCTGGCGTGAGCGTCACGGCCCCCTGCCCCCTTCTTCGAGGCCCCCCATGCAGTCAAGTCGCTGAGGTAAGGAACAGTTCCCGCTCGGGAGGTCTCGCTGCTCCTGAATTAGGCCCTTCCATTGCTGTTTCTCTGGCGCTTCCAGTGCACCCCGGCGCTTTTGGGACCGAAAGGGGCTTCGTTCCATTTCTTCGCGTTCCTCGAGGTAACGAGCTCGACCTGACGCTTCTCCACGGGTCTGCCGTAGCTGCTAGGCGAATTTGCTGCTAGTGCTACCGCGGCGGCCGGACCGTGAGCGGACACGCCGGGTCGTGGGCGTGTCGGGGAAATGTAAGATTCGAGCTCGCCAGAACTCGATCTTGCCTATATTTGTTTTTCGCGAGCCCGTCCTGACTTTGGACTGCCCAGTTTTCCTGGGATGGTTGCAGCGGGAGCTAGCGTGAAACTTCAGATTTGGTCTCGTCGCTTTCCTGACAGCCCCGTCGGGCCCCCAGAGCCCCCCCCCCCCGAGCCCGGTTTCGCGGGTTCCTCGAGCGCAGCGCGCGGCCCGCGAGGGGCAGCGTGCAGAAGCCCACGTGGAGGCGGAGTCGGAGGAGGCCAAGCAGGAGCGGCTGCAGGCCCTGCGGGCGCAGCTCTCAGGCCACCGCCCCGGGACCCGAAGGACGCGGCGGCGTGTCGTCGGGAGCGTGCAAGATCAGGACCATGTAAGACTCGAGTTCGCCAGAACTCGGTTTTGCCTGTGCTTTTTGACGGGCACATCCTGAACTTTGACGATCGGCTTTGCGTAGGATGTTTGCAACGGGAGCTCGCGTCAAATTTCAGACTGGGCCCCGTCGCTTTCCTGACGGCCTCGTCAGGTCAACCTGGGGCCCCCGAACCCGAGTCTTACGTCTCCCAGGCAAGAGAGGGGTGATGACTAGGAGTGTGCGGAGATCATGGCCAGGGCCAAGGAATCTGACAGTTGACATGATCCCCTCCTCCTCCCCCTCATCATCATCATCATCATCATCATCATCATCATCATCATCATCATCATCATCATCATCATCATCATCAGCATCAGCATCAGCATCATCATCATCATCAGCAGCATAATCATCATCATCATCAACAACAAACAATCATCATCAACAAATCTTCATCATCAGCATCATTATCAGCATCAGCATCATCGTCATCATCATCAGCAGCATCATCAGCAGCATCATCATAAGCAGCATCTTGATCATCATCGTCATCATCAGCATCACCACCACCACCAAAAGCATCACCATCAGCAACATTACCATTATCATCATCATCAACTCATCCTAATCATCATCAGCACCATCATCATCAGCAACGTCATCGTCATTATTATCATCATCATCATCATCACGATCACCATCATCATAACCAACACCAACATCGTCACCAACATCATCATCGACATCATGATCATCATCATCGTCAGCATTACCAGCATCAGCATCGTAATCGTAACCATCATCATCAGCATCATCAGCATCGTCATCGTTGTCCGCATCATCATCATCATCATCATCATCATCATCATCATCATCATCATCATCATCATCATCATCATCATCGTCACCACCACCATCATCATCGTCGTTGTCGTCATCATATTCTTCCCTCAGCACGTCCCCTGACCCTTCCCCCTCGTCCGCGCACGCGCTTTTTGAGCCACGATGCGCAAACCTTGTCTTCCTGGCACTCCTCATCGGCGCGATCGTCGGCGTGCAGGTGATTCAGGGGCGGTCTGACCGACCCCCAGCAGGTCAACCCTTTCGCGTGACGACCCCCTGGCCTCGCTCCTGGACGTGTGCAGGCGGTTGGAGGGGAGCCTCGCGGTTGGAGGGGAGCCTCGAGGGCGAGGGGGTCGTTACGGAAGAGTCTCGCCACGCACGCGGTCGATCAGGCCATGACCGAGCAATGGGGGTCAGCCCCGACGGGGGCCCCGCTTGGGGCCACGCGTGCCCAGAGCCCAGCCCTACGTGGTGCGTGGCCCCCAAGACCTCGCGACCACTTTCCCGCAGGACCCCTCTGCCTCAGGCCCCCTGCCCCTCCTGCCAAGCAAAGAAGCGTGAGAAGCGTGCGAATCCTGCTTCCTCCTCCCTCCTCCTCCTCCTTCTCCTCCTTCTCCTCCTCCTCCTCCTCCTCCTCCTCCTCCTCCTCCTCCTCCTCCTCTTGTTTTAGTTCAAAAGGCGAGCCTCTGGAAGGCCTGACCACTTCCCCGTGACCGGTGTTCGCATCCCGAGTTGTTCGCTGCTGGTCCCGGGGCACGGCGTGGGGCACCCGAAGACCAGAAACGGCAGAAACCCTCCCGTCGCCATTTTGTCCACGACCCGAGGAGGGGGGGGTCGTCCCCAGGCATCTCTTGTCGTGCCGTAGCCCCCCCCCCCCCCCCCCCAATGTCCCCCCCCCCACACATTGGTGCTCCGCACTGCACTGCTGAGGAGGTGGCAGCCCCAGACTGAACGGGGGCGGAGAAGTTGGCGGGGGGGAGCGGGGGGGGGCTTCGGCGGAGCACACCACCTCCCACCTCCCACCTACGGGGGAGTCCAAGAGGGGGGTGACGACTAGGGACTACGTAGGGGGGATGGGTCTCATAGTCGGGGTGGTGATACATCTCCCTCGGCTTCTGGGCCCCTCATCTTCTTTGACTACGTATTGGTTCTCCCATCGTCTACGCACATGCGTCGGGCCATGATTTGCGAGCCTCCTTCTTGAGCCGCCTCCATGGCGATCCTAACAGATTGCTCATTCTGCGCCTCTGAGGAGGGACAAGAGAAGTGACGCAAGAGTTCCAGGTCATCCGCGGTGGCGCGAGTATGATCGCCTATCCCACGTCGCGGTCTGGGCCAGAGCGTTTGCCCTTCTCCAAGGGGGCGATGCGATGGTGCGATGGTGCGAAGATCATCGCGTGACGCGCACCTCGGAGAGCGATGCGCGAAGTTGGGCGACCTGGGATTCGGGTTTCAACGCGCCCTGCAAGAGTCTCGTGCCCAGGTGCGTTTCAGTTCTTCAGTTTCCGACACGGCTTGCGAGTATTCAGCATACTCACGACATTGGGAGTTCAGATCCAGGTCGCGCCCACGATACCGCTTTAGCAAGGTTGTGTAAGGGCCTCCTCTGCAAAAAGCCATGGGGTGTAGGTACTACCATCTGGCGGAGTATCCGACGTAAATGCTAAGATGCAGTGCCACGTGTTCACGGCCAGCCTCCTTCTCAGCACCAGACCGCACGCTTCTGGCCATCTAGGATCAGGCCGTGTTCTTCGGATGACCCCTACCCTATAAAGCCAATCGTCGACGCCCCATGCGATTCTTTGCTATATGGCCTCATTCCGTTGCTATTCGGCCAGCCTGCTTCGGATGGTTAAACTGAATTTCTTGAGGAAGCATACGCCGCCGCCGTATGTGGTCAGTACGTGGTCGCTTTAATGAACAAGCATCGAAGTGTGAAGCCTGCGCCCAGAGACCTGCAGATGCCTGCCCGAAAACAGGGCGACTGAGGGATTCAAGACGGCCTTGGAAGGTGCCGATAATAGCGAGACGCTTCCGTCCTGATCGCTTCAGGACGTTGGAGGTATGCTGAGCTTTCGTCCTCGTTTGTGGCGGATCCGAACGGCCAGGATCGGACGCCCTCAGCGCGAGTCCCCCGATTGCTGCAAGTTCCAGCACTGCAGCGGGCATCAGGAGGACAGGTCTGTACTAGGGGGAGAGAGATAGAGAGAGAGAGAGAGAGAGAGAGAAAGTAACACGCATTCCACCCGGGCGTCCGCGTCGCGGCGGCGGCTTTGCGTCCCGCATGATGATGAGTCTCGATTCTTTCAAGTCATTAGAGGCCTGGACGGCCCTCTTCCTCTGCCGAAGGAATAGGCGACGAGAGAAGGTGCTCCTGTGGGACCTGCGAGGAGCTGAGGACCCGCAGTCAGTTTGAATGCATCGTACCATTTCGGCGTCTCACGAGGCATCGCCGATCGTCGACCCCAGCATGGTACGGTGCACAGGTTCTGCTGGCCCCCAATTGCCGAAACAGCTATGCACCGTGCCACGCTGGAGCGGAGTAGTCGGCAGCCCGATCATGATGCGGTGCGTGGTTTGCGCTCTCGCACCTGGGGTGGGGGGGGAAACCCACCAGCATCTGAGGGCGCGCGTCGGTCCCTGGCCCCTGCCAATCTGGCTCCCCTCGCCCGCGCTGCTCTTAGAGGAGTCTCAGTCGGATTGCATCTCGCCACGAAGCAAGTCCAACGTCCCGCAGGCGTCGATGCATCGGCGCTGCTGGCCCTTGGCTGGGGGTGCCGCCCCCCCACTGGAGCCTGCTCAGCTCTGGAGCTGCTGAGCTACGAAAGCAGCTACAGCTATGATGCTCCAATCTACTTTAGCCTTGACTACCAGAAAGACTTTCGAACGCCAAAAAGAGTACCGAAACTCAAGGGTTTTCACGTGTCGGGCCCTGGGAGACACTCGCCCGACACTGTTTCGCTCTCTTGACACTTTTCTGAGTGTTCGAAATTACTTCTGGGATGCGGTCCTTTAGTAGGATGGGAACAACATAAAGCTACAGGAGAAGAAGGGATGCCGAGAGGAGGCGAGGACGCGAAGGGGACGGGGGGAGGAGACAGCTGCACTCGAAGACCTGTGCGTGGGGAGGGGGGGCCTGCCCAGCTCTCCACGGGCCCGGGCGGCGGCTCCCCCAGAGCGGTGAGGCCCCCCGAGGTCGCGCCCTGCTTGTGGGAGGGGCAGATTTGTTTGGGGGGCCAAAGTTTTTTTTGACAAAGGAAGAAAAACAAGTTTTTTGTCCCGGCAAAAAAAATGTTGGGGGGGGAGGGGGCGGGGGCGGGCGAGTGGCCTCGACGCTCGCCGCCGCCGAGCACTCACAGCCAGGACGCCGAAAGATAAGGAGCAGTGCGGGTTCGGGAGAGGGTCGCTGCTCCTTGGGTCCTGCGATGGTTGCTCCTCTGGCGCTCCTCGTGCACCCAGAGGGCTCTTGGTTTCCAAAGAGGAGCCTCGTTCCCCATTCGGCCTTCCTCGGGGCAGCACGGCGACTGTACGACACAGGGCGCGCGTCGGTCGCTGGGCTGCGCCCTCGGGCGACGAGATCTGTACACAGCCACCGTCTCTTGCCAGGGCCGCGCTGCCGCCGAGCAAGCCGTCGCTGCCACCGCCGTCGGAGCTCCCGAGCATCGCGCCAGCTGCGGGCGAGATCGCGCCAGCTGCGCCCAGGATCTGATATGCCTCCCTGCCCCCCGCCCTCCATCAGGCAGCGGCGGCATCTTGGGAGAGGACGGCGGCGGTACCCCCCGGGGGGCTGCAACCTCTGGAACGCGCGCCGGAGCGTCAGTGGGTCCAGCTCCTCAGGAGGCAGGAGGAGGACCCAGGGAGGAGGATCGAAAAGGAGGACCGAGGAGCGAGAAGGATCGAGGGATGCGGATAGAGGGAAGAGGACCGAGGGAGGAGTAACGATAGAGGAGAATCAAGAGAAGGATCGACAGACCAGGATCGAGGGACGGAGGAGGAGAAGGAGAAGGATGCGGAGGAGGAGGAGGAGGAGGAGGAGGAGTCCGTAACCATTTTGGCTCCAGCCATGTTGGCTCGATCCCCGTCGGAAGGGGCGGGGAGATCCCAGGAGGTCGGACGGCCATGCGGCGCGCCTGGCCGCCTCGCGCCATGGCGGCTGCGGAGCCCGGGAAGTCGAGCCGGGGAACCAACAGGAGCGCAGGAGGGTGCCCGACAGCGTGGCGGCCCAGCGATCCCCGCTCCCGCGAGATCGCCGCGTCGGGGCCTTCGGCGGCCCGGCGAGAGGCCCGCCGCAGGCGCCTCTTCGCCACCATCGCCCCAAGCTGCAACACCTGCCACGAGCTGGCGCCAACGAGGGCCCTGAGAAAGAGAAAGGGCACCAGCCAGCTCTTCGCAAAGAAGCTACCAACCTTGTGCCCGCCGCCATCGCCACCTCCGACATCGACGCCGCCATCATACTGTTTTCGGCGACGTGCTTCCCATCGTGAGCACGGAGATGGCGGAGGTCTTCTGCGCCATTGGCCACGTTTTCCATGCCAGTGCCGCTCCACGTACGTCCTTCCTACACACATGGGCAGTGGACGTCCTGGATGCGCTTACTTATGAACCCCTCGGGCCGCATTTCTGGCGCGGCCGATCCGCAGGACTACATCGTCCACGAGGCAGCGGAAATGCCGTCCGCGGAGGCGCTGGCCGCCAGGCGTTGCATGACCAATAACGACTCACCATATCGTGAATTGGCTGAGACAGCGCAGGCCACGTCAGCGCTGCAACCAGCAACCCCGGATGTCTGCCGAGCCGCCCTGTGCAAGGGGGGGGGCGCACCGCTGCCTGAGACGGAATGGCCTCGCCAGCCAGCCGCGGACCAGGGCGAGCGCGCCGCCCACGAGACAGCCTCGACAGCGCAGCAACCCCTGATGACTGCTAAGTCGTCCTTGCAGGGTGGGGGTGGTGGGGGGGGCCGGGGGGGGCGCAGACCTACCTGAGACAGCACGCGCGCGTGCCATCTACAGCGCAGCACCCCCCCATTGCCGAAAAGACGCCCCGTGCCTGGGGGGCCGCCGGGCTGTCTATCGGAGGCACCCGCGCCGCCCACCAACCCGCCGACCAGGAGGACGTCCAGGAGTCCAGCTCGGACGAGCCAGAGGAGGCAGACGCAGAGGAACGCGAGAGACCAGAGCCTGGACCGCGAACGGCTGGCCCAGTGCTGCACCCAGCCAACGACAACGGCGCGTGGGGCAGGGGCTCTGGCCACCTTCCAATCTTCGGCATCCCCGCGCGGCACCCGCCGCTGTCTTGTCGCAACCTGTCCGCCTTCCGCGCAGAGGACGACGGAGGGGACATCAACGATCGGAGCGCAGAATAGCTTGCTGGAAGGGGGGGATTCCGAGGAATACGAGGAGAACCACTCCGATTCGGACACTGACAGCCCCATGTTCGCGGCATAGCGTCGCAACCATCGTTGGGGCGAACTTTGGATTTCCCCGCAGCGGTGTGGAGCCGCCACTAATGCAACGAATAACCTGAGGCTTGGGCTCCCTGGGTGACGTCGCTTGCACCATGCTGTCACGTGGCTAGTATGGGGCGCGAAGACAACGTGTTTCCCCCGCGCCGCCTTTTCTGCCCCCCCGCGCTGGCGCGGAGACAACAGCGCTCCCCCGACGCTCGCTTGCACTCACGCCCATCTCACCTGCACCTTATTACTCTTGTGGCGGAGGGGGTGGAGGTGGGCTATGCGCTTCGAGGAGGGAGCCGCGGCCCAAGGTGCACGCCGCGCTTGCGCAGCAGCCAGCCGCGCTGCCTCACCTGCCCCCTGCCCTCGCCCATTCCTCCCCTCCTCGAGGCCCGGAGCACCGCGGCCAAGCCCGCCACTTGCAACAAATCCGGCCCTTGCCTCCCGCCACAACCACCTGCCGCCCAAGCTTGTCGCCCTGCCCCTGGCCAAGAGGGCCACGGTGCTAAACCCGAGAAGACTTGCCAAGACGTGCCGCTGAACCAACAACAGTGCTCCTTCGTCTGCGCGCTTGCTCTCCTTCGGGCCCGTGGAGGTTACTTGGGCGAACCGCCAAGCCCCAGCACGCAACGCGCCAACCCAGCGCTAAGACGCGCCAGACGTTTCCACTTGCAGGGCCACCCGGCCACCTCGCCGACAGGGCGAGAAGCCGGGCCTGTGGCCCCACATCTACTCGGCCTCTTGATTTCCTTTCCCCTTGTGTCATTTCCGTGGTTCCATGTTCCCAGCCTTTCCCCTCGTGTCGTTTCCGTGATTTCCTCTTCGACCTCTTGATTTCCATGTTCCCAGCCTTTCCCGCCCTCTTCTTCGGCGCGCGCCCGTGGCACGGGCGCGCCCCCCCAGCGGGTGCCGAGACGAGGGATGGGAGGTCCGGGAGAGGGGTCGCGGAGGGTCCAAAGCCATCGGGAGGGCAGCAGCGAGCCACGGCGCGACCGCAACCGCTGTCAGGCCGACTGCGCCGCCGCCCACCGCCCTCCGCGTGCCGCCGGGAGACGACGAGCAGGGGCGTGAGAGGAAGTGCTTGCGCGTGTGATGGTGGCGAAGGTATGGCAGACATGGCGAGAGTTCCATGTTGTCCCCCCCCCCTTCCCAGTGGCGAGGGCCGTCTTTTTTTCGGGGGGGGGGGGTCGTATGTAGTTCGAGCAGCCCCCCCCAGGAGCAAAGGCCCCTGGGGGGGAGGACAGCGTCGGCACGACACACACCCATGCCACTATCAACGGATCAACAGGTGGATAGAGAAGGAGGATCGAGCGACGATGACCGAGATCCAAGTGTCGAGAGTCGATGGCCCTAGTGTGTTATGTGGCTTCTAAGGGTCGTCGCCGTCGATTTATATCTATCCTCCAAGTCATTCCTGCCCCGATCCAAATAACACCCGCCTGTTTGCTGGATATTCGAGCTGTTTGGCTATGGCGCTGAATTGACGACGGTCAGATGCACGTTGCCCACGCCGTAACTTTGCACAGCTTCAGTGCCGCATTATGCAGGTGCTCGCCGAAGCACTGCTGTTGTGTCCCAGCCATCTTAGCCGCGCATCGCCCATGCGTTTGCTGCTCGTCCAAGTTCTACTGTCACCTTTGGGGCCCTGCCTCGTAGGGCCTCTGTCAGCATATGCGCGGGTCACCGTCATTGCCCATCCTTCTGGCCATTATCTTCTGACGCATTTTAGGCAGATGATTGATGTGCGCAGTCATTATTGGACTCGCGATGCCTCCATCGCCACTCTACGCTGTTCTCATCCTCCTCCCCGCCTCTTCCTGTCCTTCCCCTCCTGGCGCCGTGCCCGTAACGCCATCCAGCTCGCACGTTTCCCTCATCCCTGATTCCGTTTCCCTCGCATCTCTTGAAGTTGTGGGCCATGGATCGGGCGAGCGGGAGATGACGGGGAGTGGAGGGCTGTCCCTTTGTGCCCGTGTCGGGCCCCTGGGGCCACCAGGAAACGGTCGATCACGACGGTGACGACGACGAGATACAGACGGACGCACGATCGGAAATCCACGACCGACGAATGACGGTGGCCTCTCTCGAGGTCCTTGGAGGCCGTCCTTGGTCGGAAGCTGGAACATATACATTACCAGTGGCGGGCTGTTTTACAATCCCAGGACTTCTTGAGGGTCGAGGACGACGCTGGGGTGATGTGGTGTATACTTTTTCCCCCGATGTCCCAGGGAAGCAACGAAAAATGTATACACCAGCGTCCCGTATACACCAGGATCCGCTCTCCAACGCAAATTCAAATGCAGGGCCGGAAGAAGCGTCGGTGTATAGAGTTCGATTCCCTACTTGGGGTCGCTCCAATGGAGGCCTCTGGAGGCCCGGAACGGAACACGAGCTTCCAAATACCTCGATCCTCTTCGAAGCTGGACTCTCGATCGAGGTCGAAGAGGGGCCTTCAGTTTCCCGCCCCGCCCCCAGCAGGCAGTGCTCGGCGGAAAGGTGGTGGCAGCAAGACGATCATCATGGGCGACGCCAGCAGCCAGTCCCACATCGAGTATCGCGAGGTCTGTCTACGGAATCCCCCGCCCGTCCATTCGAGGAGCGAACTTGCTTCGCTTGGTCAGTCCCGCGAGTTTGGCCTTTCCCTACGCTAGCAAATTGGCTCTACCAGGTTTCAAAACGCCGATGGGGTCTTCTCGGTCCGTCCACACTGCCAGGGGGTAATGGCCAGGCTAGACAGACTGATCGAACGGTAGCCGATCGTAATCACGAGGGCGATTCCTCCAGCTTAAATGCTTGCCTCACGTTTCCGCGTGGGCGCGGGATGGCGGGAGATCGCACCGGCCATTCGAGGGTACTCTGCTCTCCAGAGACGGCCCCCCTGTCTCGCCCGTCTACAGGTGGATGACGACGGCGGGATGACGTCGCTGAACCCTCACGGCCGGTAGCGCGGGGCCCCCGCGAACGACGACGGCCGGCTGAGCTCGGGGTGAGTCGACGTGGGGGCGGAGCGAACGCGGTTGCAGGGCTGAAGGGCTCACTTGCGGTCTGCCAAGTGAGGCTACCTTTCGCTCGTGGCGCGACTGCGGCAAAAGAAGGCGCCAACCGCAGGAGCGGCTCTGCCATCCAAGGTGCCTCCATGAGCTTCCAATTGCCTCGCGGGGGAGGGGTCGAGGGGCACTCGAGGCACCTCTATCAGCTTCTACAGAGCGTCCAGCAGACAGCCGCACGTGAACCCTGGCGCCACTGCCCACCGGATTGGACCA